AATGCTATTTTCGTGTGAAAATTCTCGATTTTATTTTTTATATTATATTTAACTTTATAATGCTATAACTTATTGAAAAGTGTATGTAACCACACAATTTTTTTATGAGAAATAATATTTTTTAATAAACCCTTTTTCATTCGACATACTTTATCTTAATCGAGATATTAATAAGGAACCAGCAGATCAAGTAGCTTTTGGAATAAAACACCAATTTTTTTTAAATTAAACACTATCTAAAGATTTGCATCGAAGCGTTTATTTTTGATAGTGATTTTAATCACTGTCAGATATCATTATACTTGATTCAACTATGCCACGCCACCACTGTGCCGCGATTCCACTGTGCTGGGTTTTGTCATTATGAACTCCATATTTTTCAAAAAGGTATGGTTAAATATGTTTTAAATATATTTTAAAAATGCAAAAATTGTTAAAAAAAAAATAATAAATCGAAATGATATTTAATCACTAGTTATATCTTGTAGTCATATCTTTGTAACTCATCTGTTTATAAACATTTTGTTATATATTTTTAATTTGAGACCACCTTATTAACGTCTAAGAATTACATAAATTACAAAATATAATACACAATAATGAAATGTATCTTCAAACGAAGAGTTTCTAAATTCATAACTATCTAGTAGCATTTAAATTAATAGCAAATTATATATATGTTACAGAGAGTGCAATCTGTGAATCGCCTTTACTTCTGGTAGTTGAACTCGAACTGTGTCTACTAAATATTAATCCGTGTGTTTCATCAAAAACAATTATCTACAATCGTTATTTTATCCTATACATTATATCAAAGTACTATAATCACTCAGTCGTAGACAATGTATAAAATACCCCAGTAATATACGAAATAAACGTTTTTATAAATAATATTTTTACTTTATCCAATTGGTACAGGTAGTGTTCACATTACCCGGATAATGTGAACTTTAACCATACTTTTGTACTTTACCTGTAACATATACATATAATATATATAAATATCATTTTTTTTTTTTTTATGATTTTTGTATTTATTTTTTTAATATTAATTTATTAATTTTATTTATTCTTGGCAATACCGATACCAATTCTAATATTGAAAAGTTGCAAAATAATGATAAATCCAATTTTGGTCACAACGGATAAATTTTGTGACTTTCATGGCATTATAAAAAAAATAAGTTTTCGGGTTTTCTCGCCCTAGTGGGCGAGACAATATATTGTCAGACCAAAGTAGAATTTTTAAATAAAAATTAAACATAGAAGTTAATTTTATATTTTTAAATAAAATAAGAATAGAAAAATCTATGTTGTTCAATTTTTATGTCATGATTGAATTAAGCTACGATTAAATACTAATGAAATGAAAAATATTTTTCGTAATTGACCATGTCAAAATAATATTTAATATAGAAATAACTGTAGACTTATAACATAATGAAATCTGTAACTGAAGTCCGTTGAGTTATTGATACACCCAGAGATAAACCTCGATCTATATAATAAATTCATTGTTCAATTTGATAAATATATCATTACTATTGAAACTATGATATATTTATCAATATGATAATTTTTTTTCTTGTCTTGAACAATAATTATTTATAAGAATAATTATTTTGTTCGTATTAATAAAACATTATCGTAAACCCTTGATAAAATTTCTCTATCAAAATAGATTGAGGTTTTTCTTTGGGTGTAGAGTTAATGTATAGCGAAATACCATGACAAGTTGTCACATAACCATAATTAATTTGGATGATCATATGCAACCGTTAACCGTATTTTATAAACTAGAGGTAGGACTTTTGAAGAGGAAGAAATCCTAAATACACGAGTTCATTGAAGGTGAAATACGAGAGAAAAAGAGTTTGTGTTAGGTTCAATTAAGGGAACTCATTAATTAAAAAAAAAATAAGTTAATATGTGACAAAAAACCTCATCTATAAAATAAAGGAAACAAAGAGAAAATAAAATAAAATCAGACTTAACTAAAACAATTATTACACGTACAGCACTTATAATTAGAGAATACGATGAATGTATTTGGGTACCCGTGACCATCAAGCACGGCATAACCGCTGAAGAGCACGGTGCACGGCTGCTACGAATGAAAATTAATTTACCAGCTCCGACGACAGCTAATTTCAGAAAAAATTACTGATGCTTGACTCGACAGTTCGGTGTAAATAATTATATTTATCAAAGGCAACAATGCAGGTGGTGAGCAGTGCAAATGCCGTCCATGAGCCGATTCGAAGTAGTACACAGCGGACTATCTTGCACGCACAAAAATAAATTACAACACCTTATCACAGTATTATAGATATTAAACGCCGTCGTAACATGCATTCGGCTTAACAAAATTAAAATATTTATTAAAAATTACAAATGTCGTCACGCGAACTAGAGGCAAGTTGTTCGGACCAGTTGGATAACTACCTAGCGTGAAGTCAAATGGGATCAGTGCTACCTGCCGGGCTGAGAGGGCATGAGGGTTGCCCGTAGTTTCAACGACGGTCATTCGCAAGAATCAAGTTAAGGAAGCAGCTATCCCCTTTCTATATTTCTTATTTATTTATTTTTTTGTTGCAAGTTATTTTCCTAAAATAAAGCAGTCAGTTTGGATATCATTATTCACTATAAGTTTTTTATTTTTTTTCATAGAATAAATTTGTTTACAATAGACAAATTTATAAATACACAATTTTATTGATTGTGGGTCAATACGAGTAAAATTTAAAGCAATTCTAAATACAAACTAACTATAATATTAAATTGGATATTAATAATTTCTTTAGTTCACCCTGTTTGGTATAATATTCGGTATAAACACATCCTGCCTTGGCATTGCCCAATACATTTTTATTCTTATTTAAAAAAAGTACTAGTAAAAAAAAAATGTTCATTTTTACTTAGTAAATTAAAATGTTTACATTTTTTTACTAGTCAATGTTATTCTGAGAATAACAAATTTTACAACTCTTTTTTTTTTAACAGTGATTAATAAAATTAATTACATATAATAATTCACTTTTAAAACTTGTATGAATATTTTATCACGTAATGTACATTTCAAAGTAAATTATGTTTTTAAAATATACATATATCTAATAAATAAATAATTCTTAAATATCATTTAGACATTATTAATTTGTTAACTATTTTTTAAGAAACAACTGTAGAATAAAGAGTTTTGTTGCGCAAACAATTATGATGCAATATTATTTCATTTTTCATCTAACAAACTTTTAATTTATTTTTAAAATTGTTATTTATCGTAATCATACAGAGTAATACGACGTTGTATACAATAATTACTGTTGTATTAGTATAAGGAAAGAATATTTAAGGGCTTTAATTTTTTGTAAGTCTTAACAATGCTCTTAAAAGTAAATGTTTAGAGGTATAAGTTATGAGCTCTAATTCTAATTATTTATCTACAGAATTGTTACAATTTCTTGTTGGGGCATTAATAAAAATATTTACAAAAATCCATATTGTGGATTTTTTTTATTATCACTATATTTTAGAAATAAATATTATGGTCAATGGGAATGCATGAGAGCCACCTCTGGCAATAACAATATTATTTATTAAATTTTATGTAATTTTTTTTTTTGATAACAAATGAAACTGAATTGAATCACACATTAAAACATTAAGAACGTTTTTTGGCTAAATTATTTTAAGAACACATCATTTTTGGAAAAAAAAATTTCTAAATTCAACGAATCTAGAGTACTTATTTTTCGTCAATTGAAGATTGAGTAAATAAGAAAATACTAACAAATTTCAATGAAGATAAAAAAGGTCCATGTATAGAACTTATAAATAAAATAGAATTTAAATAAATAATCTATACTGCTATCTAAAATCTATTAGGTAGTTAGAATATTGTTATAAAGAATTTTTATAATTAAGTTATAGGACATTTTTTGTTATATAAATGCAATATTAGGTAGATAGAACATTTTTATTTTCATTAGCTTATTATAAAAAAATATTTCCTATAAAAATAACTATTTTAACTCCTAATTAATAAGTTTCTAATTTTTTAAATCTTTTCTCTGTAACTTGCTTGCTTGGTTTTTTGATGAAAATATCGTGTTATTAATATTATTGTTATTATTATCACCTGTAATAACAATGCTACAACTAATAACATGTTAAGGGTCAGTGTAGTTAACAGAACAAAAATTAATTTTAATGTGTATAGCACGGTTTTAGGAGATAAAGTCGACGTACACAACCCCCAAACTCAATTTCGAGATTTCCGTTTATTGAGTCGAAATATTAGCCACAATGTTGATAAAAGAGAATAGTTCTTTAATATTGTCAACATAATTAGCGGATTTAACAGAAACTTTTGCAATCTAACCATTTACCATGATACTGTTTATAACTCCATTATTATAAAAATATACTTATCAAATTTAAGTTATAACATTTAGGTATAATACATTTACAAAGCTAAGTCCGGGCCTTAATGTATTTTATAAAGCCCGGTACGGCTCTAAGATATAATTTTGGAGCGCCGGCCCAGTCCTTTAAAAAAAATATTCCTTCCAATGACCAATCAGGCCATCAAGAAAATTTTAGAAACCTGATCCAGCTCATGCAGCTATTTGGTAAAGTGTCCCAGTTGTAGATATATGATTATATATAATTCATGTAAATAACAGCTGCTGTTGAAAATATTAAATTCCAAAAAGGCAAAATGACAAATAATAACAAGGCTAGGGTTTGCTGTTATTTAAACATAAATGTTTATTAAACTTGTTATAATCAATTTTAGTCCATTTTTTTTTTTAATGGGTTAAAATTTAAATTGAATAAACTTAATAAACTAATAAGTTAAATTAATGTAAAGAATAGCAAGTTAGAAAAAATATAAGCATAGGGTGGTTACATTTTTTGGAATGGATTTATACAATTTTTCACTTCCAAATTTTTTGTTATGTATCAAAACAGATTTCAACATTTTTGGAGACGTAGCCCTTCCCTCCGGCATTTGTAATTTAATCAGATTAATTGATTGTGCGATCACTTGATTTGATAATTATGTATTAAATATCAATGATATTTATAAAAGTATGAGAATTATTTATTGAACGTCTATGGTAGATGATGATGTCGACAGATATCGAAAAAAATAGAATTTATAATATAATACCTATACTTTTAATATAATTTTAATATTTTTAAAACTTGAAATTTTATTTTAATATTTTTTTAATAGAATTTATTTACGAATGCCTGTATGACACTGTACAGTCACTTGTCCAAGTCTCATATATTTCGGAGTATTTTTCTATCAATTGTATCGAGATCATTACAAAAAAACTTACGTGGTTATTACACACATATTATTAGTTGAAGAAATTTAATGTTGAACCATATATTTTTCAAACTATTTTATATATTAATAATTTTCTTAAAGTATTTAAAATTTTATTATAAACCTAAAGGTATTTAATGAAAAATTTATAAAATTTCGTTAACCACGAACAAAAGATAAATTAATTTAAAAATTATCATCATTACTAAAAATACGATTATCAATTAAAGACAAAAGGGGATACATGTAATGATTGGATTTAGTTGGGTTTATTCCAGTGGGGTGTGCTATTCCCCTGCTATTTCGCCCTGAAGCAATACCTCACGGTAGTTCCAGGGCGGTCCACAACATGCTGGCGGTGTGGAAAAAAAAAAAAAAAGGGTGTGCTATTCCCCATAGCTCTCAGTGAGAACGCCTATTGCAAGGGTTGTAACACCACCTAAATGAAATCGGTTCTTGAATTGTTAATCAACATGACTTCACAAAGGTTTCTATTTAACATTTTACTAACTTTTAACATTTTAAGAATGAAACAGATCCAGTAAAGATTCAATTAATAATTGTTAATAATATTATTAATTTTAAAGATTTAAATACTGGAAATTAATTGATAAAAGGATCATTTCTCAATTAAGAATATAAAAAAAATCATTAAAATTTTATGTTAAGGGTTATTTTTCAAACTAAAACTGTTTTCTGTCATACTTGACACACGATTTTCATGAGACAAAGTAAAGATTTTAATTAATTAACAGTTGGGAACTAGTGGTTAAACTGTTTAAATTAATTTGTTTTTTATCAACTTTTGCACCACATGATTAAATTATTCCATAGAATAATAATATTTTTATTTTTATTTCTCAATCAATAATGTTAGTGGGTAATTTACCATAAATTAGTCAAAAAATATTTATATAAAACAAATTTTAATAACTTGACAAAAATAATTGAGATACAATCTACACTATTTGTTTATGAGTATAAGAATTTAATTAAATTAAATAAATAAGTACATAGCCATGGCCTTCGTATTATTGTCGTCATAGCTGCTGCGTTTGCTATGTGAGAGATTAGTTAAATAATTGGAGTCGTCAAACTTTTCTGTGGCGATTGGACTAACCGTCCCAAAGTGCGTTAAGTTAAAATAATTCTTTTTTTAGAGGAGGTCGTGATAGATTTTAAAACAAAAAGTTCTAAGTTAGATTTATTTCTAAAAGTTCTTTATTATTTTATTCAAACAAATAACGCACTAGATTTTATATTGATAATTTTTATTATACTCATTTATAAAATCATTGACGTTTCATCTGTATAAATAGTTTTGAATAATTCTAACATTACCAATTATTTCATCATCTCGTTTTGGTCTTTTTAAATTTGTATTAAGTAAATAGAATCTAAAATAGTTTAATAAAGAAAATTTAATATTTTTTACATGACAACCATATTGTAATACAGCTGTATACTATATTTTTGTATTATTTGTTTGTCATTTAACAGATTATAAGTAAATAGCTATTATCATAAATCAAAAATAAATTTGTTGGAACAAAGATAAGAGTATATAAATTGTAAATCCTTTAACGAATACTAGTATGTATAAATTCAAAAAAATTTTCAGTTTTGTCTTAATACTTAAATTATTCAGATTGGTCTATTTTATAATTTTAAGTAGAAAATATTATCAATAGAAGATTAAGTTATAAAATGGTATGTTTTGTAAACATTTTAAGTTTATTTTATAAATATAATATATTACTTTAATTTCAGAATTTATTTATCTTGTCTATCAATTTATTCATATTCTATGTTGGAATTATTAATGGTAATAATATTTTATATTCAATTAAATTTTTATCTAGATTTTTTAAGAAAAGGTTGATTTTATATGTAAATAGAAATAATTGGTTTTAAATTTTTTTTAATAATTTTTGTATTCTTAAACTATTTAAATTTTTTTATAAGTTTTGTAGATGTATTTATAAAAACTGAATTTGTTTTACTCTATTACAGTATGTCATTGTTTACCAATAGAAATTGAAGAGAGTTCTACAAACGGTAATTATAATAAACTTAAGATCTTCATAGAAGCTAATTTATTTGTTTTGTTGGAACTAATATAATTAAAATTGAGTTATTTACATTAAAATAGAAAACATAACGTAAAACCAATATGTTCCCACCATCGAAGCATTAACCGATGAGTTCCAATACTGTTCATGATGATTATTATATTATTTGATTTTGTTTAAACATTTTTGTTATAAGCTTATATTTGTAGACATGGTTTTTGATACATAAGTACTTTTGCCCCCCATGTTTAACTTAATATTATTTTTCAATAGTTAAATTGAATTTCTATATTAATCTTTACTATAATATTTATTTATTCGGCGAGTAGCTTAAGTACACGCGTATATTTTATTTTTGTTCTTTAACCTAAACAAACATGCGGTATTTTTTACATATACAACACATACAATAGTTCAATTAATATATCTGTGGTTAATAAACCACCATTTCTTATAATAATTTACATTTGACGACAAATTAACTCAAATTAAATTAGTATTTTAATTAACTTAAAATTAAATTTCACCTATGCTTCGGTAATTATATCCTATAGTACAACACCTTGCCTAGGTTGTAACGACCCTTGCTATTATAGTTAGTCATTATATAAGCTGCAAACCACGTTGTTACAGGCCAATAAAAGCCCACATGCAAACTTGAGAAAATGTTGCCCCGTATATCTGCATTCAAAATGATAAAATTGATAACAATCAATATCGTTTATATTAACGTATTAATTTTAAATTAATATCGTAATATTTCACTTTTTATTTTGTTACGTAGATGTTGAAATTTGCGCTATTTGTTTACACGAAGTAAACGATGATTTTAAAGTGACTACATGTAATCATAAGTTTTGTAAATCATGTATAGACCAATGGTTAGAAGGTTCTGGTGCATTAACATGTCCAACATGCCGAAGTATAATCAAAGAAAATAATGGTAATTTAAGCAAATTATATATGTACATGGTATCTAGAAATTTCTTACAGCACTAAAATACACTCTCGTAAATATATCTATAATTCTNTTTCTTACAGCACTAAAATACACTCTTGTAAATATATCTATAATTCTCTATGACATTTTATTAAATAAATAAAAAAATAACGTGACAGATAACTTGTTTAGTTATCAAATGATTAAAAATGTATCAAATTTTGAATTTACATTAGAGATTTATATTACGAATTAATTTCTAATGTCTGAATTTATAGTTAATAATATCATGTTCTCTTAAATTTGAAATATCGGTAAAATATTTAACTGTCCCAAGTTAAACACTCTGATACAATTTAGTCAATTTATAAGTACTGAATAATATTTATTTTATTATTGTAAGGTAATGACAATATCATACTTACTGCAAAAATATTACTTCTAAGGGTTGTTCTTAGGAGTAAAATTCGAAAGTTAAATGAGAATCTATTACTGTTTTTATATACAATGGAGAATTAACAAAATAACAACTAACTCGTTTTTATATTATTTTGAAAAATTAGCATTTAAATATTTATAAAAGGTGAGGAATATGGTAATGTTTTCGACGCTTTATGTTTACTATAATTCACTAATAAAATCTATTATGTCTACTACCTCTCGCCTATAACTAAAAATTTTATTTATTCTATTCTAATACCATAAAAATAAAAATAGGTTATCATTTCAACGTTAAAAGTTATCCCTAAAAACTACCCTTAAAAATAATTTTTGTTTTCAATAAATTTAATATTATTCTTATTAAATCAGACTATCATTGAAGTATTTTCGTCTAATATTATTAACTGAATAGTATTTTATAGTTCCAACTATAAGTAGCCTATGTAGTATGTTTTTTGTTTAAGAAATAATAGTTTTCATTGACTTTTAAGCAATATCGACTTTTTATTGTGGTATTATAATATGGTTGATGGATAATTATAAATCTGCCAAATACATTAGTGCATATAATGTAATTTATTAATATTTCTTATACTAACGTGCTCTATTAGACTATAGTTATTATTTAATAAATACATACACGCATTGATATCGTTAAGGAAGGAGCGTATACGACGGGATTATTCTCGAACGATTCCGTTGTGCCGCGATGGCGTCGCACAGTCACGAACATTCTAATGTATTCGACACGTTGTTAGTCAGTGGATGATGACCAGACCTAATAATCTAATAACCTAATAAATGTGATAATATTACTTAGTGATGACGTCACTAGGTGATAAAGTCACTAGGGGTATATAAGGGAGTTTTATAGTCGGGGTGTCAGTATGTGTTTAGCGTTGATAATGGTTACATTGTTTCCGAAATACGTATCCGCGACTTTTCATTAATTTTTTTGTGGCTTTGAGTTTAATATTTTTTAGTTTTTTAAATTAATAATATTTTTAATATAGTTTTAATTTTACCTAATAACCGGTACATAAATATATGAATGTTCGTCGGCATGTGTCGTTTTCGCGGTGTTTCTAGATGTTTTCCTCGCATTAAATAAGGGCAATTTCCCTAAGCATTTTGGATTTGATAACATAATATTATTATTATATTTAGGTAAAGTTTGCCGTGTGGGTCAAACGAATAGTAAGTAAAAATTTATTAAAATTAAGTTAATATTACAGTACAATATATAATATTAACTTAGCGTAAGACAATGTTTTTTTTTTTATAATAAATAATTTAAATATTATTTTTTTTCTCGAGGTTTAAACTTACGACACATTATTATTTTTATAATTGAATACATTAAAATTAAGAATACGTACGTGGAATGTTGGAATATTAACTGGCAGATGTCGAAAATTAGTAGAAGTATTAAAGAGGAGAAAAGTTACCATTAAGTGTATGCAGGAGACTTAGTGGAAGGGAGAGAAAACCAGGGAAATAGGTGAGAGTTATAAAATAATATACTCAGGTAAGTCTAATACAAAAAATGGTGTAGGGATAGTAATGTATTGGGAGATCAAAAGTAAAGTAATTTTCAAGGAAAAAGTGTTGAATGTAATAAGTGCTTATGCACCACAAGTAGCATGTAATGAAATGGACAAGGAAGTGTTTTGGAGAGAGATGGATGCGGTGATAGGTGCAGATATGAATGGACATGTAGGTAATTAGAGGAGAGGATATGAAAGAGTACATGGAGAGTATGTTTTAGTGGGAAGAATGAGGCTGGAGAAGGACTCCTGGATTTCGAAGTATATTATGATCTTGCTGTGGTTAATATTTATTTAAGAAAGAGGAAAGAACATTATATTACTTATAAGAGTGGGAATAATAGATCACAGATCGATTATGTTATGTAAAATAGAGAAAGAGCGTAAAGCGAATAAAAGATTGTAAAGTTATACCAAGCGAAATTGTAACTACACAACATAGACTGATGGTAATAAAATTGTGGTGTAGTGGGAACACAGTTTACAAAAACAGAAAGAACACAAGAGAAAAATCGAGGATCCTATGGTAGAAATTGAAAGGGGAAAATGAAAAAGAACTTTTTAAAAGTGGTAAAAGAGGGAACTATGTGGAATGTCGAGGGAGATAAAATTATGCGTGGAATAGATTTGTTAGTTGTGTAAAGAATACTGCAAAGGAAATTGTTGGTAAGAGTAGGAGTAGAAAACGGGCAGGAAACAAGGACACCTGATGGTGGGATGAGGACGTTCAAAAAACCATAGAAAGTAAGAAAAAGCAATTTAATGTATGACAAAAGAGCAAAAAGATAGAAAATTGGATGGAGTATAAACGCTTTTGCAAAGAAATCAAGTATGCAGTAAGTAAGGCGAAGTTTAAGAGGTATAATGAGTTGTATGATAGACTAGAAATAAAGGAAGGCAAGAAAGAAATCTATAGACTTGCAAATGTAAGAGAAAAAAGGTCTAAGGATGGAATTAATCAAAGGTTATAAGTATGAAGATCAAATCTTGATTAAAAGGGTTTAATAATAACTAGGAGTAAAACAGAGTATAGTGAGTACGAGATAAAATAATCGTTCTAAAACACCATATATGTATGAACTATACATATAATTGAGCTGCACATATAATTAATTTTTAAACTTTTAATAAAAATAAAAAGTAATAATTTAATATCTATAAATCCAGTAATATAATTAATATGATAATTAGTATAGTTAATTTGTTTTTTTTTTTTTTTTTTTTTTAGATCATTATCAGAACAATATTGTAGAAAGTCTATCATTTAGGGGATATTTTTGAAATAGTTACTAACGATATAATCATGTACATAAATATATTTATATGTATACATTTTTTTTTTTTTTTTGATAATAAATTGTATTTTAATAGTTGAGTTATAAAAATTTAAAATTTTTCCACATAGCAACTGAACAATTCGATATATAAAGTTATATAGAATTTAATGTTAAATATTTATATTAAACAAATACTTTCAGAATGTTTCATAAGTTAATATTATTGAAAAATAAAAAGTGAAAGTAAACTGAATTATCATAGGATTTTATGAGAGACTTGTAACTAAAAGCTAATGAGTTACAAAAATTTAATTTTGTAATTTTTGGTGAAATATTTATAAAATGTGTAATCACCTTTATCATCCCTCTAAATAAGGTCCTTTATAATTGGAACAATATTCAAAAATTATGATATAAAATTATAATTAACTAAAAAAATAATTAAATAACATAGGAGGGGAAACAGGGCGTATAAATTTAAAATTTCTCCCATTTCCCTGGAAATGGGGGAAATCTCCAAAAAAGTTAATAATTTAAAAATCGCTAATTTTCGAAATTTTTTCAATTTTTTTTTCTTAAAACTGCCATAACTTTTTCAAAAATGAACAAATCAACATAACTTCTTTTTTTAGATGCATTATGTCTTTACCTATCATTTGGTATATTTTTTTTATAAATTTAACTCTTTACCAGCCCACAGGGGGGGATTTAAAATGACAAATTTTTTACAAAAAATTTAATTTTTCAACTTAACTTTTGAAAGTGTTCCGGAAATACTGACACTTTTATATATATCTTAGATTAAAGCTAATGTAATATACTTTCTTATGGAAAAAAAAATTTCGGACTTTATTTTGTCTTCACGGTAAAAATGGCTACCAAATTCTATTTTCGTGTGAAAATTCTCGATTTTATTTTTTACATTTTTAACTTTATAATGCTATAACTTATTGAAATGTGTATGGATCAACACAATTTTTTTATGAGAAATAATATTTTTTAATAATCCCTTTTTCATTTAGGATATTAATAAGGAAATAGCAGATCATGTAGCTTTTGGAATAATCCAACAATTTTTAAAAATTAAACACTATAGATTTGCATCGAAGCATTTTTTATGATAGTGATTTTAATCACTGTCAGATATCATCTATACTGGACCCAACTATGCCACGACCTCACTGTGCTGGTTTTTTTTTTGTTATTATACTATGTTTTTACTAATAATATTTTCAATGAATTCCCTATAGTCAATATTAATATTCTTAAAATTCACTTTGAACTTGACAAAATATAATTATAAGAATATATTTATCTATATTCAAAATATAATCAACAAAACTGTGGTGGCCCAGTGTTTCTCAGCGTAAAGCCTTGACTGGCGCAAACACAATTAACCTCGTTAATATATATTAAGTATTAATTAATAACACCTTTTACTATCCTTTATTGCCGGTGGTTATACACGCAGAGGATATTTCCAAAATGTAGTTTCCTATCTTACAAACTATATAGAGTAATTTTTTTTACCAAATTCCACTTAATTACTTGCAGAATATATATAATTTATTATTATATTATATATTATACCTCTTATAGGTATATAATACCTCTTTCATTTAACATACTTTTTATTTAAATTGAACAATTTTCCTTTATACAAATGACTTTCAAAACTTGAAAAATACGTATAAAAAGTGGAATTTATTAAACTTAACTTTTGAAAATGTTCCGGAAATACTCCGTTCTTTAAACGAAAGTTTAACGAAACTTATGTAAAAATCACTGTTTAACATAAAATATTTGAATACTTAAAACTGCTATAACTTTTTGAAAAATGAACAAATTAAAATTATTTATTTTACATTGAAACCTTAGATATTTTTCTTTCATTTGATATAATATTTTTGAAAATCTTACTCTAAACCTGCCCGCAGGAGGAATTCAAAAAAACACTTTTTGTGCACAACAGTTAAGTTTTCTTAATTTTTGAAAATATTCCGGAAATAATGACACTTTTATTTAAAATAGATTTTTTTTGTAGCTTTTGAGTTTAAAATTTTTTAGTTTTTTAAATTAATAATATTTTTTATATAGTTTTAATTTTATTTCATTAATTAGTCACAAGTGATCAGTTCTTTTTATACAAACATTGATGTTTCATCTGTATAAATAGTTTTGAATAATTCTAAATTTACCAATTGTTTCATCATCTCGTTTATGTCTTATGTCTTTTTAAATTTGTATTAAGTAAATAGAATCTAAAATAGTTTAATAAAGAAAATTTAATATTTTTGTACACATCATAATCATATTGTAATACAGCTGTATAAGATTGTTTTTGTATAATTTGTATGCTATTTAAAAAATCTTAAGTAAATAACTATTATATCAAAAATAAATTTGTTGGAAAAATGATTATATAAATTATAGATCCTTTCACAAAGTCTATTCTGTATAAATTCAAAAAAATTACCAGTTTATCATTAATATTAATATTATTCATATTGGTTTATATTATAATTCTAAGTAGAAAATAAAATTAATATAAGATTAAGTTATAAAATGGTATGTTTTGTAAACATTTTAAGTTCATTTTATGAATATATAATATTACTTTAATTTCAGAATTTATTTATCTTGTCTATCAATTTATTCATATTCCATGTTGGAATTATTAATGGTAATAATATTTTATATTCAATTAAATTTTTATCTAGATTTTTTAAGAAAAGGTTTATTTTATATGTAAATAGAAATAATTGGTTTTAAATTTTTTTAAATACTTTTTGTATTCTTAAACTATTTTAATTTTATATTTTTTGTTTTAAATAATAAAAAAATTAATTTATTTTTAATCTTAAAATTTTTTGAAGTATTAAAATAACCAATTTATAGAATTATTCTAACAAAAAAGTTTTAAAAATTGATAATCTAGTTTATATATAATTTAAATCGAGTAATTATTGAGTTACAATCTTTTTAATATATTGACTAGGCTCCGCCTAGCTGGGGCTCCGGCCCAGACCCGGGGCCCTTCGAGCCTTACGCGCCTTCGGCGCGTAAGTCTCTTCGGGCCGTCATCATAAGTAGGCCACTGATTCCGGTAGAAGTACCCGGCTACGCCGGGCACGATAAGTGTTTTTCAGAAAAATATTACTTCAGAATCAGTGAAAACTATACCTAAAAATGTTATTATTAAAATCAGGAAAATTCAAAAAGAGAATATAGTAAAATGTATTGGGTATAAGGTTGAAGCCTCTTAATGAGGTATTCCCTTTAGGCCTATTCAAAAATTATTTTAGGAGGAAATTTAATATTTTTTACTTTGTTAAACATGTTATAGAAATTTTTTTGCTAAAATTAAAGTACTGATGAAAAAAAAAGGACATTCAGTCCTTATATATTAGAAGTTGCCTAAAAAAATATTGCTAGCGCTTGTTCAAGGAGGGGCCAATCTCTCTTAAATACACCCCTGTTATACACAAAAATTATTAATAATCTAATTATAATAATTGTTTTTATATTATAGAATAATTAAAAAAAAATTTAGCAGGTTATTATAAGTGGCACACTGTAAATTTAAATTAAAATTAATATTAAAATAAAATTAATATTAAAAATAAAAATATAAATTTAATTTTGATAAATATATTAGTAACTGCGATTTAACGATGAACATCATAGTTATCATAGATGAACCCCAATTCAAAAGATAAACTCATAGTCTCATACATCATATATGTGAAAAAAGAAAATTATTCCTTGATAAAAATAGGGCAATTGCAAAATAGTGTCTTAATAATAATACATAATACACCATATAATTAAGGTTCATAATACGTATCAGCAGAAATGAATCACTGCGCATAATAAAACCATGCGCGTGGACTTAAAAAAAAAGCTCGTAAAATGTGAAAAATGAACGGATTGAATTGATTTTTTTATCATATCTCAGGAATGTCATTGGGCGGGTCTGATGAAAATTTCAAACCTTAAGTCGTAAAACGCTGGCGTCAGCGAGCGTTTTTCTCGAAAACGGTCGAAATTTTAAAACGCTCGCGGGCGAGCGGCAAAAATTTTCCGACCTTCGCCAATAATTTTCCCGGAGTCTGGTGACCGAGTACTTTCGTTGAAAAAAAAATTTTTGAAAATCCGAGCACGCTAAGTAATTTTCCCAGAAAAGCGTTTTTTTCCTTGTTCTATTATATAATAAGATTGGGTATGTAGTGCAAGTGAGTACAGTTCTTATTGGTGTTTATTTATAACGCATACTCCACCCATGTTATCTATATTTATATATTTCATATCTATCATTAATGTATTAAAATATGCTTGTAACTCAAAAATTACTCGTTCTAAGATTGTTAACTACCCATTTATCATTTTTGTTAGAAAAATTTTATAAATTGGCTATATTTATATTTCAAATAACTTAAAATTAAAAAAAAACATATTTTTAATTGTTTTTATTATTAAAACAAATAATTAAAAAAATAATTTTAATATATAAATCAAAAAGTGAATGTATTTTTAAAAAATATAATACAAAGAAATGTTAATTGTATCAAAAATTTATCAATTTATTCGTATTCTATGTTAGAATTATTAATAGTAATATTATTTTATATTTAATTAAATTTTTATCTAGATTCTTTGAGAAAAAATCGATTCTATATATAAATAGAAATAAATGGTTTTACTAATGTTGAATACCCAATTTTTAGCTTTGATGCGAAGCTGATAAGGTATTAATTTTACTATGATGTATTTTTTTTTTTTTATTTTTCACTTTTTTTTTTGTGTCTGTGAACTCTCAATCTCAGCTCTCGCTGGACTGATTTTGATGAACAATACGATGAACAGTACTCTCAAAAATTAAAAAAAATTACCTCGTTCCCCGTAAACGGGGGAAATCCCCCAAAAAATTACAAATTGAAAAATCGCTAATTTTCGATATTTTTCAATTTTTTTTACTTAAAATTGCCATAACTGTTTTAAAAATGACCAAATCAATATAATTTTTTTTTTTATAAATACCTTAGGTATTAACCTATCATTTTATATATTTTTGTGAACATTTGACCCTTTAACAGCCCACAGGAAGAGTTTAAAAATGGTAACTTTTTTACAAAAAATTAACTTTTTCAACTTAACTTTTGAAAATGTTCTTGAAAGACTGACACTTTTATATATACCTTAAATTAAAGCTAATGTAATATAATTTAAATTGAAAAAAAAAAATTTGACTTCTGGATTTGTCTTCATGGTAATAATGACTACCGTATTCAAAAATAAGCTATTTTTATGTTAAAATTCTGGGTTTTGTATTTTATTTTATTTTACCTGACAATTGGAGTACAAATTTTCATAAATATTATATAAATAAAAAATTGATAAAGCATAGTAAGTTCAACTTACTTAAATTTGTTTGCTTTTTTTAAGTCGAGACAAATAACTTTGAAATTTGAACTAGCTTAAATAGCCATTTTTTTCATTGACTGTAGCGACGTACAGTAGCCGAGACGGTTAAACTTGTGTTTTACGTGCTTGGGGTACAAGGTTCCAAGCCGCATGTGGCAATGAATTTTTTGCATTTTTCCTTAATTTATTTTAAGTTAGAATAAATTTTCAACTGCTTTGATTTTTATCTCATTTAGATTCAATAACTTCAATAAAGATTAAGGATCCCATCACTTTATTCGCCCCATGCAAGAAGAAATTTCTTATTCGTATTAAAATTATTTTACTATATTTTTCGTTTTAGCTTCGATGCAAAGCTGAGAAGATATTTTTTTGTGACTATCATTTATTTTCTCTACTCTAACTTGACCTACTTTTTTCAACGATACGTCAAATGACTACAATTCGTATCTAGTTGAAGATATTACCCTCAAAAATTGAAAAAAAATTCTAATTTATCAATGAAATAGTTACTTATCCCATGTTCTCCAAACACACAATTAAAATCATAAATTTCTAATGTTTTCAAAGTATTTATTGACGAATCAAGTTTGATATAATAATTTGATATGATAGGTTTCAACTACAAAATTAAATCATTTTACTTTGTAATTTAATACATTTTTTACTTTATTTGTGTGTGCTTATACTAGACTATATATTCCAAATTTGTTGATAACATGTTGCTATATAAATCATTTCTAAAAAAAATGATTGTTAGTTTCTCCTGAATTAACAATGGATTTTTACAATTATAATCAAATTTAATAATACGCTCAATTGAGTAAATCGTTTTAACAACTTTGTTTTGATTGGTTCATTTAGTTAAAGCAAATCATTAATATTAGTTAAGTTATGAATATTTCAATTGTAGAATCTTTTTATACACCAAAAGTTATTAGGTAATGATTACTATTATTTCTATTTCAGTTATCTATTAAGATAAAAATGCAAAAAAATATTGAGCTTTTCTGATACAATTACTATAAATAGTAATTATAAAACTTCCTAACAGCATATTAATCTTAACGGTACAATTTTTTCAATTCTCATAAAATTTTCTATTTAATGATGACAATTTTAAACTTGCCAATTGAGCTAAAAGTTTTGGTAAAATAGATTATTTTTTTTTAATTATAAACATTCACAAAAATCAATTTTAAACGATTAAAAAAATAAAACGACATATTTAAAATTAAATATGTTGTTTTCCTTATTTTTAACATATTAATAATCAAAATCAGTATTAATTTAAAACAATTATTTTTTTTCTTAATTACTTTTTTTTTATATGTAAATACTTATTTTTTAATAATAAGTAATAATATTAAAACTTAGAAGTAATAGAAAAAGTTTAATTGCACATTTAAAAACATCGCGAAAAGTTGATTTAGAAAAGTATATTTTTGTTTCTGATGAAAGTTCAATAAGTAACAAAATTTTTTTTTTTTTAAGTATTGCATCAATCCCTTTAAATTTTTATACGCGTTAAAAGTATATGAATATACAACTCCTTTTTATTTTATAATATCTCCATAAAAATTACAATATTATATTATTGAATATCAATTTCACACTAAATTTAATTACTATAATTATATGTATTCATAAATTATAATTATAAATTAGGATAAAATTAAGGGAATTAAAGTTATGGTTGCTTTTGAAATAATCTACCAATCTCTTAAAATTAAACACTATCTACAGATTTGCATGGAAGCGTTTCTAATGATAGTGATTTTAATCACTGTCAGATATCATCTATACATGTCCCATACCGTTTTTTGTATTTAACATGAAAACATACAGAATGAAAAAAATTTAATTGACATCTCAGTAAATAAAAAAAAACTTTTGATACAATAAACATTTCTTTTTTAATAATTTTAGTATTTTTAGATTAATTTAATTTCATATTTTTATCATTTGCATAATAGTAAAAAAATATATAATTTTTAATTTTAAAGTTCTTTGAAATATAAAAATTGCCTATTTATAGAATTATTCTAACAAAAATGGTTAGTAGGTTGATAACAATTTTGAAACGAGTAATTATTAAGTTACGATCTTTTTATACATTGAATAGGGCTTATAATGCAAGTGAGTGCAATTCTTACTAATGCATATTTCTACTGCACCCATGTTATATGGCCACTTAATGTATTAAAAATATTGTCACTCAATAATTACTCGATCTAAAATTGTTAGCAATTTATTAACCATTTTTGTTAAAATAACTCTATAAATAGGCTATTTTGATATTTCGAAAAACTTTAAAATTAAAAAAACATATTTTTAATTATATTTATAATTAAAATAAAAACGAATAATATAATTTTAATATTAAAATCAAAGAATGAATCTGTTAAAAAAAAAACACATCACAGGGGGGTCGCGGCACAGTGGGGACGTGGCATAGTTGGATCAAGTATAATGATATCTGACAGTGAATAAAATCACTATCAAAATAAAACGCTTCGATGCAAATCTTTAGATAGTGTTTAATTTTAAAAAATTGGTGTATTATTCCAAAAGCTAGATGATCTGCTATGTCCTTATTAATATCCTAATTAAGATAAAGTATATCGAATGAAAAAGGGATTATTAAAAAATATTATTTCTCATAAAAAAATAGTGTTGATCCATACACTTTTCAATAAGTTATAGCATTATAAAGTTAAAAATGTAAAAAATAAAATCGAGAATTTTCACACAAAAATAGCATTCCGTTACTATTTTTACCGTGAAGACAAAATAAAGTACGAAATTTTTTTTTCATAATAAAATATATTACATTAGCTTTAATTTAAGATATACATAAAAGTGTCAGACTTTTCGGAACACTTTCAAAAGTTAAGTTGAAAAATTTTTCATTTTAAATCCCCCTTTGTGGGCAGGTAAAGGGTCAGATTTATAAAAAAAATATACCAAATGATAAGTAAAGACATCAAGTATTTAAAAACAAAAAAATATGTTCATTTGTTCATTTTTGAAAAAGTTATGGCAATTTTAAGTAAAAAAAATTGAAAAAATTTCGAAAATAAGCAATTTTAAAATTTGTAATTATTTTGGACGTTTACCCCATTTACGGGGAAAGAGGGAAATTTTTTCAATATTTAAGCGTAATGTTTTCGATTAAATAAGATTTGTGATATTTTGACGTATTGTTGAAAGAAATCGGTTCGGCGAGAGTTGAGAAAAAGTGGTAACGGGCACAAAAAACACATCATAGAAAAACCAATACCTTCTCAGCTTCGTATCAAAGTTAAAAATTACAACGAAACATTAATTGTATTAAAAGTTATATGAAATTGTCTGTTAGATCTTGTTGTGTCCCAATTAGGATGAGACTCAGTAACGTGTTGGAGTGGATGTCGTTGTAATGTGAAATAAAAGTACAGAGTTATAACACAATATATTTATACAACGGTTCTTTAATTTTAGAAATACAAATATTTTGAACTATAACATTAGTTGTCTTAAGAAGAATGACTTACAACTTATAATAGACTATATTTATACAACGGTTCGAACGCGATTAATTACTGATTATTCGTTGTCTAATACTAATTATTCCCTATACCCACTACACTTATGTCATAACAATAAGCGTCCTAACAATTTGTTTCACCTATATGATAAATTATTTATTTGAAATACATTTATGTAATATAAATATACAATATTTAATTAGAAATTTCTATATCATATCAAAAATATATGTCTGAAATAATAATAAAAATATTAGTTCTGATAAGCTTTGACTGTTTTTAATTTTTAATTTGTTCCTTATAGATTATAATAATAAATCATTGGAATATCAATTACTGTGAAATTATATTTTGCTCCATGATTTTTCAAAGTTATATTTTTATATTCTTTATGATAATTTTTATAGTTCAATACATAAAATTAAAATATTTTTTAATGTGTTTAAAAAATGGTTAGTCGGGCCTAGAGAGTAAAAACGTATGTTTCGACGAAGGGGGTCCTGTGGCTATTCTCAGGGTGCCAACGAGAATTTTCTTGTGATTTTTTCATTGTTGGTGTCTGGTCTCTGGTGCAAGCCAGCCATTATTCCCATCAATGGCATAACTAAGAACCACTTTTGATTCCCTAACATGTTAAATAGAGCCACCACCCTTTGTAGTATATTAAATTCGGGAAATAGAAGGATGTAAAACTGACCATTTAGTGTTAATATATTAAATGTGTTAAGTATTACGCATGTTTTCAATTTTCACATCCAATAAAAGAAATTAAAAAAATATTTTATATCATTAGATAAATGGAATAAGAAAAACATATTTTTATACATCACAGATTTTGGTATAAATTATTATAATTTTAACTTGTGTCGAATTAAAAAAAATACATTAAAACCAATAACCTTAAAGAATAGTATGCAGATTTATTTGAATAATTAATAAGTAACTTAATATAGTTCGGTTTAGAATTAATTTGGTATATATTGAGTTTGAAAATACCTGGGCAAGATGGTAGCAAGAGGAGACAGTAAGGGTTCCCTTGGCTTAAAACTAGTGTTATAAGCTAGTATACATATTATAGATGTCATATTTAGGTAACTCAAAACTAGCCAGATTCAATAAAGTTACACATGCATGAATACCAAGAAACACCTGTGTGGCTAGTAATGAAAACGCGTTTTAATTTTTTGTCCTCTATTACAGTATGTCATTGTGAAAAAAAAAATGTTGAAGACATTTCTACAAAAGGTAATTATAATAAGTTTAAACTCGATGTTAATATTTTTGTTTTGACATTATTAAAATTGAGACAATTACATAAAAAAAATAGAAAAGAAAAACATATCATTTAAATAAATACCTTCTCAGTATCAAAGCTAAAATCTATATTAAAAATAAAATGACATTGATTGATCATGATAGTATTAATGAATTATGTTTTTCAATAAAAGCAAAATTTTTTACTCTGGAAAAATGTTTAAAGCTTAAAGAGTTTTTATTTTTTTGTAGTAATTACGTAAAATGTTGGTGTACTTTTAATTTAATGGTAAAAAATTATTAGTGTTTATACACAAAAATATGTTTTGAGATTCAAATTAATAACCAGACGTAAGTGAATGCAAAACAAATTAATTTGAGTATACATTTTTATACATTATGTTAAAAAATCGGGAAACTACTAGTGATGAAAATAAAAACAACCAGCCAACATTATAAATTGCTAATAACTTAAAATAAAAAAAATTATATGAATGATTCGAGGTGATATGTGGAGTGCTGTTTATTTTTATCATTTGACATAACTTCTCATCCCGTCTAAGTAATGAAATATTAATAAATATTAGTCCAAAAGTTAATATCAACCAGTCATTTTCTTAATTAGACCATTATCTAAGTGGTTCACGATGAAAGGATATATATAGTATTATATATTTTATATAAAGAAGATCAAAAACCTGAAACCTAAAGAATACAATTTTGCCAAAGACTGTTGGAAAATTTTTAGAAATTACCTAGTATGATGTCCTATATATATATAAATGTATTTGTACAAGTTTATTTGATATATTTATAGAAACTGAATTATTTTTACTTTACAGTATGTCATTGCGAAAATGAAAAAAATGAAAATAGTTCTACAATAAGTGATTATAATTAACTTAAGATAATCTTAGACGCTAATATATTAGTTTTAATAGAACTGGTATTATTAAAATTGAGTCATTTACTTTTAATAAGTGTCACCCATTATTTTCAACATCAAATGTTTTTTTTTCGAACACCATAAATACCTATTCAATGTAAACATAAATAATAATGCAAAATGAACTACATATTTGCAATGGTAGGAAATTAATATATAAATGAGTATATAATTAATATATACTTTCTCTTATATGAAAGAGAAAGTTTACAAAATAATTTTAATATATTTTCTTCAAAATTGATCATGTCAAAATAATATTTAATATAGAAAGAACAGTAGACTTATTATAATTCAATCTGTAACCGAAGTCCGTTGAGTTGTTGTCAGTTGATATAATTATGTGACAAGTTTTCATATGATCATGATCAACTGGAATGACCGTTAACCGTATTTTATAATTTAGAGGTAGGACTTTTGAAGGGAAATAAATTCTAATTACACGAGTCTATTGATGATGGAACAGAAAATAAAAAAAGTTTGTCTTTAGGTTATTGAAATTGATCAATTAAAAAAAAAATGTAGGATAATATGAGACCAAAAAACGAACGGTCAAAAACCTCGTCTATAAATTAAAGAGATAAAAGAAAATCAAACGTTACTAAAACAATTATTACACGTAAAACTTTTATGTCGAGTTCCCGTGGTCATCAAGCATGACACCACCTTTAAAGCGTGGAGCACGTCCGCTACGGTTGAAAGTTAACCCACGTCCGGTGGTAATGCCCCGGCTAGCCTTTAGAGGTAGAGTTCGACGAAATTATAAAGACCAGTGCTAGACTTTATGAATAAATATTTTTTAATCCATATTTATCAAAGGTTAAAATGCAAGTGGTGAGTAGTGCAAATGATGTTAATGTGGGGAAAAGAGCGATTGATATATACACAAATGCCTATACAGCTAACTATCATGTGCAAGATAATATAATGTATCAGGTATACAAATAGTGCAAAAAAATTCGTAAAGAATCCGAATTAATATAATTCAGTGGGAAGTTTGCATAATGAACTTAGAAGTCTGAGTGTATTCTGATATTTTTTTACAATAATAGTTTTTTTATAAATTTAGTAATTGTAATTATGATAATTGATATTGTTTTACTCTATTACAGTATGTCAATGTGAAAAAGAAAAAAATGAAGATAGTTCTACAAAAGGTAATTATAATAAGCTTAAACTCGTCTCAGATGCTAACGCAATCAAAAACGCGTATAATTTTTATTTGACACAAAAAAAAATATTTATTTATTTTGTGAAAAAAAACATTAATTTTTAAGTAATTATAAAAGATATAATATGTAATATTGACTTACTTTTTTTTTAAGTTATTTATTTTTTAATAAGTAACGCTCACAAGGGCAATAGTGCAGAAAAATCGATACAAATAATTATACAAGAAATACAATAAAATAAATTTAGTTAAATAGTTAGTACACTAAAAAATTTTAGACATGAAATATTAAAATTAGACACATTGAATTGTAGTAACTTTCAAATGGGGTTTTTATTGGTCTGCAACAATAACGTGGTTTGCCACTTGCATAACGACTAGCTATGGTAGCAAGGATCGCCACCACCTAGGCGAGGTGTAACACCTATCAGATATGATTAGGTGGAATTTAATTTTAAGTTAATTAAAAGTGTAATTTAAGTTAATATGTCGTTATATGTATAAATGATTACAATACCTCGTGGTTTATTAACCACAACTATGATAATTAAAGTTGTATGTGGTTTATATGTAAAACATACCGTAGCCCGTGTCTAGATTAAGGAACAGGAAGTACTTAAGTTACTCGCGTGATAAAATAAATACTACCGTTAAAATGAATAAGGAAATTTAATTTAATTGTTAAAAAAAAAATTAAGTTAAACATGGACACAAATACAAATATATCAAAAATCATGTCTACAAATAAAGATAACAAAAAACCCAGCACAGGGGGGTCGCGGCACAGTGGTGACGTGGCATAGTTGGATCAAGTATAATGATATCTGACAGTGATTAAAATCACTATCAAAAAAAAACGCTTCGATGCAAATCTTTAGATAGTGTTTAATTTTAAAAAATTGGTGGATTATTCCAAAAGCTTCATAAACTGCTAGTTCCTTATTAATATCCTGATTAAGACAAAGTATGTCGAATAAAAAAGAGATTATTAGAAAATAGTATTTCCCATAAAAAAATTATATTGATCAATACACTTTTCAATAAGTTATAGCATTATAATGTTAAATATAATATAAAAAATAAAATCAATTTTCACACAATAATAGCATTTGGTAGCCATTTTCACCTTGAAGATAAAATAAAGTCCGAAATTTTTTTTTTCCATGATAAAGTATATTACATTAGCTTTAATTTAAGATATATATAAAAGTGTCAGACCTTCCGGAACATTTTCAAAATTTAAGTTAAAAAAATTAATTTTTTGTGAAAAAGTTGTCATTTTAAATCCCCCCTTGTGGGCAGGTTAAGGGTTAAATTTATGAAAAAAATATACCAAATGAAAGGTAATGATATTATGCATCTATATAAAAAAAGAATTATATTGATCCATACATCTTTCTTGTATGTTACAAACTTATTGCAAGATAAGAATATACGAAATAATAGTTAAAAATTTTATATAATTTTGTGAATGACTGCTAATGTGGAATGGTATATAGAATGTTCAGTAAGTAAGAAAACGGTATTCTATTGTTGTCATTGTTTATAATAATTTACTTGTTTCCTTACTTACTGAACACTCTGTATAATAGCGTGTATTTTAAAAAATGGTTTTTCCGAAATTTCGGAAAAATCAATCTTATTATTTATTATTTTTATTAAAAAAAACATCTAAAATTTTCATCCGTGATGAAAACGGTTCTAAATTAACTCATAACAATAATTATAATTTTATTTAATTATCAAAATATCCCAAATTACAATTTTTCAGATTATATCTGAAAAATTAGGTCTATGTAATTAAAAGGAGTATAAATTAAAAAGGCCGGTTTCGCTAACAGATGGCCTTATCAACACATTTTTTGGTATATAGAAATGAAAACTATACAATTTTTGAGGGTTGCATACGCTATCAAAACCCACTTTGTTATTGATTGTCATTATTCAAACAATATATTTTTTATTACGCCGAAATTTGAGCTAGATAAACAGCATTTGCACGAAGTTTCATTACATTTTTTTAATTGTTAAAAAGTGCAGCTGAAGCGCATAGAATTATCGTAGGAGCATAAGGTGATCATGCTCTAGATATTTCAGCTTGTGTACAATGATTTAAACGCTTTAAAAGTGGTGATTTTGATGTGAAAGACAAAAAGTGTCCAGGTAAGCTAATAAATTTTAAAGATGTAGATTCGCAAGCTTTATTGGTTGATAACTCAACTCTAACTGCAAAACAAATGGCATTCAAACTCGGAATGATTCAACAAACAATTTTCAATCGATTACATGTTCTGGGAAAATTAAAAAAGAAGGAAAATGGGTGACGTATCGATTAAAAGAAAGAGACATCGAAAGACGAAAAATCATTTAAGAACTTTTGCCTGATCGGTTCAAAAGGAAGTCTTTTTTGTATTGAATTGATATTGGCTATTTCGACAATCCTAAGCACAAAAAGTCATTGACAGTTTTAGTTTTTTTATAAGTTTAGTTGATATATTTATGAAAACTAATTTTTTTTTACTCAATTACAGAATGCCCTTATGAAAAAGAAAAAATTGAAGATAATTCTTCAAAAGGTAATTAGAATAAATTGAAAATAGTATGTATAAAAGTAACCAAAAAAATTGTATTACTTTTATTTTTCAATTAATTAAGTGGTTTACGATAAAAGCATTACTATATAGCATTTTTTTAATCAAATCCCTTAACAAAAATTCTGAAAAAATTAGTGTCTAATCCTTATTAATAAAGGTTAAGAATTATAAATTATTGTGGGAGATCAATAATCGACCTACATGTAATATTTAATATTAGTATTGTAATATTTCACTTTTTATTTTATAACATAGATGTTGAAATTTGCGCAATTTGTTTTAACGAAGTAAACGATGAATGTTACAAGACACCCTGTAATCATGAATTTTGTAAAAAATGTATGGACCAATGGTTACAAAAGGGAAGTACATGTCCAATATGCCGATATTTAATCAAAGAAAATAATGGTAATATATGTCAATTATATATATTGATGATATCTAAAAATTACTTACTTCCACTTAAATCCACCCTCGTGAATACATCTATAATATTTTATTAATTAAATAAAAAAAAATCGTGTTGGATAACTCGTCTAGTTATCAAACGATTGGAAATTTATCAAACTTCAAATTTACATTAGAGATTTATAATTACAACTATAATTGAACAAAATTTTGATGCTCATAGCATATTTAAATATCAACATAAGCGTTTTAAATTTGGTCATTTGAGGCATTTTAGCATTTGGCATTAATCCTAGAATAGATGTCTAATAGCTTTATATAAATGTGGGTAAAAAATATATTGTCTTTCAAAGCGTAAAAGAAGTTTATTTTAATGTTTTTTGTAATGTTTACGGATGTATCCACATTTTCATTTATAGGACTGACATTTCGGACTCGTTGCAAAGTCCATCTTAAGAGCGATAGTTACAAGCTCGTGATGGTAACTATACTATACTGTTGAGCAGTACCACGAGCCTGAAACTGATAACGCAGATGCATCTGTAAATTTTAAGCAATACAACAAACCAAAGCTTTAACAAATTCATTAGAAGTTTAATGATTAGTTTAAACTAGAAAATTTTTCATAAATTCATTTAATTTAATAGCCCTTCTCAAAAAATTAGTTTTTAATTATTTAACACTAATAATTACTCAGATGTTTTTAAAATACTAAACGATATCAATAAAACAATTAAAATAAGAATTATACAACGTGATATATTGAGAATACTACCCTCAAATTTTTTATTAATACTTTCGATCAAATGGTCTAACTTTGAGTAGAGTGTTAAACTTGAAAACGATTAATATATCCATTGTCATTTTAGTCATATAAATCTAAAACACACAAATATATATATAATATTATTAGAAACCCAAATTATTAGTTTACAATATTAAGTGATGATTCTGTAAAATATTTAACTTCTGAGTTAAACACTCCAATGTAAGTTGGCCCATTTAAAAATATCAAATAAAATTTGTTTTGTTATTGTAAACTAAGAAAAATATCAAACTTACTGCAATAAATATATTTCTAACGGTTGTTTTTAGGGATAAAATGCTAAAGTTAAATGGGAACTTATTATTACTATTTTTATATTAAATGGAGAATGAACTAAATAAAATGTTGACTGGTTGACTTGTTGACTTTTTGATATATTAGCATTTGAAGTATTGGAAAAGGTGAGGAGTGGGGTAGTTTTTATTGGCGCTTTCTTTTTACTATAACTTACTAATAAAAATCAATTATGTCTACTACTGGTCGCCTATACCTAAAAATTACAAATTCAAAAAGTAATATTTCATAACTGATTATTAGCCACAAAACTGCTTTTTGTTGTTTAAGAAGTAATTGTTTTTATCAACTTTTTGAGTAATATCGAATTTTTATTGTGGTATAATTATATGGTTGATGGATAATTTTAAATCTGCCAAATACATAAGTGAATATAATGTGATTTATTAATATTTATTATAATTATGTGCTCTATTAGACTATAGTTATTATTTAATAAATACATACACGCATTGATATCGTTAAGACGGTATTATTCTCGAACGATCCCGTTGTGCTGCGATGGCGTCGCACAGTCACGAACATTCTAATGTATTCGACACGTTGTTGGTCGGTGGTGATGACCAAACCGAAAAATCGGTTATACGCCACAGAAGATACATAAATGTTCGGCGGCGTGTGTCATTTTCGCGGCCTATCTAGATGTTTCCCTGCATTGTATAAGTTCAATTTCTCTGGTCATCTTCGATTTGATTACGTAATGTTATTATTGTATTTAGGTAAAGATGCTGGTCCTACAAATCTTAAGCATAATTTCTGACATTAAGTTAATATTACAGTGCAATACGTAATATTAACTTTGTGTAATACAATGTTTTCTTTTTTTATAAAAAATGTTGAATAATAAATAATTTAAATGTTATTTTAGCTTCAATGCGAAGCTGAGAAGGTATTGGTTTTACTATGATGTGTTTTTTTTTTTCGTGTCTGTTACCACTTTTTCTCAACTCTCGCCGAACCGATTTCTTTCAATGATACGTCAAAAGATCACAAATCGTATCTAGTCGAAGACATTACCCTTAAAAATTGAAAAAAATTCCCTCGTTCCCCGTAAATGGGGGAAACCTCCAAAAAAATTACAAATTTAAAAATCGCTAATTTTCGAAATTTTTTCAATTTTTTTTACTTAAAAGTGCCATAACTTTTTCAAAAATAAACATATCAATATAATTTTTTTTTATAGATGCTTGATGTCTTTACCTATCATTTGGTATATTTTTTTTGTAAATTTGACCCTTTATCTGCCCACAGGGGGGATTTAAAAAGACAACTTTTTCAACTTAACTTTTGAAAATGTTTCGGAAGGTCTGACACTTTTATATATATATTAAATTAAAGCTTATATAATATACTTAAATTAAAAAAAAAAAAATTTGACCTTTAGACTTATCTTCACGGTGAAAATGGCTGCCGAATGCTATTTTTGTGTGAAAATTCTCGATTTTGTATTTTACATTTTTAACTTTATAATATTATAACATATTGAAAAGTGTATGGATCAACACAATTTTTTTATAAGAAATAAAATTTTTTAATAAACCCTTTTTCATTCGACATACTTTATCTTAATCAGGATATTACTAAGGAACTAGCAGATCATGTAGCTTTTGGAATAATCCACCAATTTTTTAAAATTAAACACTATTTAAAGATTTGCATCGAAGCGTTTTATTTTGATAGTGATTTTAATCACTGTCATATATCATTATACTTGATCCAACTATGCAACGTCACCACTGTGCCGCGACCCCCCTGTGCTGGGTTTTTTTTCGAGGTTTTAACTTACTACACATTATTATTAATATAAACGATTCTGATACATATATTATTTATTTTTTAACTTTCAATAAAAATAAACAAAAATAATTTAATATCTATATGTCATAAAATTCAATTAATATGATTATTATCATATATAATTGTTTTTTTTTTGTTTCTAGGTAATATTCGAAACAAATTTGAACGATATTATTTCTTCAGAAGATTTTTGTAAAACAGTTACTAACAATATAATTATGTACATAAAAATATGTATTTGTATAATTTATTTATTTATTGATAATAAATTGTGTTATTTTAATAATTGCATTTTAATATTTTTCAAAATTTCCCACATAAAAATTGAACAACTTGATAAAATGAATTGTTCATTTTAGATACCTACAAAAAAAAATCTGTAATAAGGTCACATTTTAGCTTCAATGCGAAGCTGTGAACAGTGGATTTCATAATAGGAGGTAGGCTAGTAAAAAGAAATCTACAAAATTCTACAATCTGGACTGGGCCTTCTTTGTCCTCTTTCTGACTACGCCATTCACTGTGAAAGTATTAGTTTAACTATGATCTACGTTATGTTTTATATCTGCTCATGAAAATTCTCAGCTCTTCTAGACTGAAATTCCATCTTTTTAAATGTTGTTACTAAATATAGAAAAAATTAATTAGTTAGCGCAAATTTATCTTCTCTAAGCAGTTCTACTAAAATTGAATTATTTTTCCAATTAGGTATCTCCAAATTAATAGGATGTGTATTCAAATCCGGGCGAGTATTCATAATAGGTTTTACTGTTTTAGTTAAAGTTGTTTTCTTCATTGAAAGTTTCATCTCCAAAAAATTCTGCAGTGTTACAACTACCAGTGCAATAAATATAATATCTCTGACTATTTGAATAGGAATATGAAATATATGACCAATGTTGTTATCACGAAAAATAAATTCGAATCCATTTTGTTTTTATAAATGAATGCACTCAAAACTTGATATTTTTAAGTTATACTCAAAAAAAAAAGTAAGATTTAAAGAGTTTTAAATATATGCGTACTAATTTATCACAAAAAAATTCTAAAGCAAAAGATCATCAAACGATGCCGATTGAAACATCATTGTTTATCCTATTTAAGCAAAATAAAAAGTCTTGTTTACTTTTTATTTAAGCCAATTAAAATAACAAAACATTTTTGACAATTGGCTAAAAATTATTAAATTTGTTTAATAAAATGTGTTATTTTGAATATTATAATGTAATTAATAAAAAGTTATAAACCGGACCAATATATTCATTAAATAAAGGTACTGTCAATTACTTAAAAATTAATTATATCTTAAAAATTATTTCTATAAAACCATGATTAGAATTTTTTTTTTTATAACCTTTTTTTTTGATAACAACTTATTCAATCATTATGTTACAATTGCTATTTATTTTGTGAGGACACAAAAATTTCAAAACTAGGGCGGATGTCATATATGGCCAATTGCTTTGCATATACGTATATTGCAATATAATGTAATTCATAATTATCAATGAAAAATTTATAATCTGTATTTTATATTACTTGTAAACAAACAAATAACTTATCTGTCATAACATGTTCACTGTTCAATACAATTTCTTATTATTTATATATATGTCTATTTATCCATTGTTAAATATGGTATCTCAATATAATAATCATGTAATGTATAATTAGATACAATAAACTAAAAAGATCACTATATACGCTGACAACAATATCCCTGGATTAGGGGTACTATCACACACTATAAAAAGCACTGAAATACTTTCAAATACCAGTTCGCTTTTGCCGAATTCAAATAAGTTGTCGGCTACACCCAAAGAAAAACCTCAATCAATTTTGATAGAGAAATTTTATCAAGGGTTTATGATAATGTTTTATTAATACGAACAAAATAACTATTCTTATAAATAATTATTGTTCAAGACAAGAAAAAAAATATCATATTGATAAATATATCATAGGTTCAATAGTAATGATATATTTATCAAATTGAACAATGAATTTATTATATAGATCGAGGTTTTTCTCTGGGTGTATCTTTTTATGCGTCTTACTTACATGCATATAAAAAGAATTTGTTTTGACTTATTATTTTTAGACGAGTTACGAAATTGATACCTCTATATATCAGAAAGATTGTTGAATTGTCTTTGATTTACAATTCATTGTTGCGAAAAAAAAGGAAGTAAATTTATGTTATCCCAATTATTTAGAGTTAATGAACTGAGTAAAAAACGACGAAGCAATAGATCAATCATTATATTAATATAGTAGAATATTATACTAGACTGGTTGGTTAAGGTCTTGTACATAATCACGTTACATGGTATCCGTGAATTGACTTGCCGTTCCGCTGCCTTAAAAAAGTTTTAATAGCCGAGCGTGATTTTTACTATATAAATTAAGCACTACCACAGATATTCGTGAACTGGCTTGCCGTTCCGTTGCCATTGTAATACCAAAACCAGACTGTACTTTATTACACATCTGCAAAGAAGTATTGCGTTTATTATTTTTTTATCTATTTGTCTTCTTTGTTCTAAACTCTTGGACTCCACAACCCCGATAGAACTTCGTTGCTCACAATTTGACCAAATCCCCAAATATCCAATCTTGGTCAAAATACCCAAACAACCTTCACACCCCTTTTTAACATATTAGAACATATTATTTAGTTTGTTATTTTAAATTATAACAATTGTTCAAATTTATATTTTTTTACTTTATTTGTTTTTATCAAGTGAATTTCATTGACACGATGGACACTTTTCCTATAACAATAGGTTAGTTAATTATTATAAAAATGTATTTTTATGATAGTGAGGAAAGTATTCTGTCCAAGTAGATAGTTTCATTGAAAATTAGAGAAATACATATGTTAAAAATACAAAAATTAATAAAAGAAAAGAAGTGTATTACATTTGTTTGAAATATAAATAGATAACAATTATAAAAACTAAAGCACTAAAAAAATATTAAATAAAAATATCTATTTAAATAACTATTACAAAAGTATTGTTTGCAAAATTTCTATGTCATTTTCATAGAAATCTATATATCAGGGTTAGCACTAAGATTTGTTCTCGTGTAACTTGTGTTATAACAGTCCGACTCCATATATTTATCTTTCTTTTAATCAGCTGCAGAAAATGATTCGTGTTACCATCATAAACTTGCTGTTCTTCATAATGGCTATTGTGATGACTTGAACTAGGAGTCATGTTCATTTGGCAATTTTCCTGCGACATTGCAGTATTCATATAAGATCCATCATGAGTCTCGTCTTCATCATTTAGAGTAAGGTCTATGTAATTTGAACAACTTGGTATATACGGTTCGGGAGTATAGTAATACACCATATGTTTGTCTCGGGTCGTATCAATAAAGTATCCCATAGGAGATGTTTTATTTTGTGAACAATTAGAACTTGTAACTCGATCAGTATAAACAGCTATTTGCTGATATTTACGGATATTGAAAGCTAGAAAAAAGTGAATATATCAAGATAATGCAGATAGTAGGGAATAGTTATTAAAAATAATTATATTTAAATTTTGTACAATACTTAATTTAATATAATGCTATGTAATATTTTTTGATAAATTGTGATTATGCTCAAATTATTGAATATAGATTACATAATAATACTGTAGTAATTATTGAGAATCATACCATTTTAATTTATATTAAACATAGAATATAACAGTTTCTATTTCTATATCCTTACTCATTAAAATACAAGTATTTAATATTAAAAAAATATACTCACTAGGCTTGTGAACCATTTTTCTTTCTTTAACTTTTGAATCTCCGATGTCACAGACTTTTTTCTTTTCATGCCAGAGAATTTATTTTGATCTGGTATAGTTTTTAACGAGGTGGCATTGAGACGTACTTTACGATTGCTTTAAAATAAACACAGTTATGTTATAACCTTTCAAAAATATGTATTATTGTTTGATTTAATTTTTAATTACCATACAAATATTTCAAGATTCCTGTCCTTAGTTTTTTTAAACATTATCTCCAAATACTATACATATAAATTACTATTGTGTTTATCCGAAGAAAAATATTGATAAAATAATTCTTATATATTAAAATAATGTTCTCTTTCTTTGGTCATTTTACATTATTTCCTTTTTAAGCGTCGATCCATAAATTTATGTTAGAAGATACATTAATACGGTAAATATCTTTAATATAATAAGAGTTTGTATAAATTTTATTGAGAATGAAATAGTTTTGAATTTAATACACTAAACTTTATTATTTATGAAGTAACTATTCTGTGTTTTTTTTAATTTTATAAGTAATTTTGTTTCCTCCTCACCGCCATATCATTGTCTATTTTATTCCTATTCACATATTTACTTATTGTACATATAGCTGTATAGATTGTAAATTTTCTAATTAAACATTCATAAAAAAAAAAAAAAAGTAATTTTGTTTACTTATTTTAAAAAAGATAATAATAAAATTACTTTTGACGTCTTGATTGCTCGGGCTTTCTTTTTCTTATAGTCTTTTGACAGCTTTCTTCGACTTTATTAATTTCATTTGGTGCAAGATTTTTCTGGGTTTGTTGATATATTTATAATTCTCAAATTATTTTCTCGGTTCAAATTCTTATGAATACTTCTCACGCGATTCTTATTCATGATCTTAGCAGGGATACGAGTGTACTTTATTTCTCGTTTCTAAAATATTTAAACGTTTAACAACAGATTTCTTATAATTTTTTACCACTATAAACAAATAAAACTTTAATTAATAATTGTAAATTTTTTAAATCCTCCGCTTGAATGGTAAATTGTTCAGCCATTGTACGCCGTTATTCTTTTATTTGTTTATTGCATCCTTGTGCTCAAAGTTTTCGTGCCCTTGCACGCTACTAATGATTGGACCCTGACCATCACTAAATATCTTCATTGTCGTAGTCGCTTTTTCGCCGTCTGTTCTCATCTGCTATTACGTGCATGGATCTACACTCTGACTCGTGTGATGATGTCACGTTACCATTATTGTGAGAATTAATATAATAAAATACAGACAGCACATCCGCTTCCTAAGACTGATGAATTAACAAATAATATTTATTGCCAAAATGGCAATAGTTCAAATTATTATAAAAACCCAAAAGACCTGACCATCTTGGTCAGTCGACTCCAGTGCCTTGTGTCATTCATCAGTCTCAGTACTCGGTTGTCGCTGTCCGGCTTACTACTTAAAGTAAAGTCTTTGTTTTTTCCTTTTTAACCTATATACTCTCTTCCACAACTTTTCAGAATACTTGTGTCTTGCACTTCGTTTGCACCTCGTACTCTGTTATCTTCCTCACCTGGTACGCCTAGTATTTGTGTTTTGAACTTCGTCTGCACCTCATACCTAGGTGCTACCCTTATTCTCTTCTTATAACAACAGCCTTTCGACACCCACAGCTAACCCGAAGTGTAAGCCGAGCACGGTGACTGCTGTACGACAATACGCACGTGAATACTTAGACAGAAGGCATCCTCCTCATTTTCTTCGTACACATTTTTACTTGCTGTTTTGTGTTACGACACTCGTGATACTCAGATGTTCGACACTATTAACATAAGATCTCTTACAGTCCACTGATCACTATCAACAACTTCATCTATGCAGCTGAGTTTATATTATTTTAATGTTATTTATTGTTTGTTTTAATTGAGATTGACTATTTTGTTATATGCCGCTTGTCGGCCATTAGTATTTTAGCGTTACTCCTTAAATTTAAGATACTCTCTGAAGAATTTCTAATATATGTGGTTATTTGTTATTTAATTATTGTCTACTCTCGTTACTTATTGGATGTACAGTTAGCCGTCATCCCACAGGTGACCCATTCCCGCTTTTATAATAGCGATTTAAACAGGCTTAAGGTAAAAATAAAATTATTTGAAAATATTTTCTAACTCAAAAAAAATTAAGGAAAAAATGCAAAAAGTTAACTGCCACAGGCGATTTGAATCTCGTAACCAAAGCGTGAAAGATATAAATGTTACCAATTCGGCAACTGTTTGTCGCTTTCGTCGATTGATAAAATTGGCAAAATATGCTAATTCAAATTTTAAGGTTACTTTTTCGACTTTAAAAATGCAAAAAAATTTTCTTTAACTTTATATTCTATGTCAATTAAATTATATAATATACATGATAATGAGTATATTCCCCTTGTAAGATATTTTAAAATAAAATAAAATACAAAACCCAGGATTTTAACAGAAAAATAATATTTTTAAAATTTTAAACCCCCACTGTATAAAGGAAAATGGCCCAACTTTAAAAAAAGTATGTCAAATGAAATGAGTAAACATTAAGTATTTATGAAAAAATAAAATTGTATTGATCCACACATTTTTCAAAATGTTATAGTAATTTTAAGTAGAAAATATAAAATCGAAAATTTAAACAAAAAAATAGCATGTCTTTTAACTACGGCAGATATTTTAAATCTCCACTTGTGAGCAGGTTAAGTGTTAGATTTTCAAAAAAATGATATCAAATGAATGGAAAATATCTAAGGTTTCAGTATAAAAAACTATTATTTTGATTTGTTAATATTTCTATAGTTATGGGAATTTTAATAATAAAAGGTGAAAAAATGATGAAATTTAACGTTTTTAAAAATTGTAATTTTTTGGGGAATTTGCACAATTTACAGGGAACAAGGGAAAATTTTACAATTTTTAAGGACAATGTCTTTACTTAGATACGATTTGTGATCTTTTGACGTATCGTTAAAATAAATCAGTACAGTAAGAGCTAGAAAAAGTAGCAACAGACACAAAAAAAAAACACATCATAGTAAAATTAATACCTTTCTCAGCTTCGCATCCAAGCTAAAATTCTATAATTTTAGTAAATATGACAAATTTATATAAAATTTGTGTCAAATACATATGGAAGTATTATATTTTTTAACGCTATCTAATATTATAAACTTAATAAAAAAATTTCTCAACTCCATTAATCTTATTATACAAAGAAATAGATGATGTATTTTTGTTTATCGATTTATCAAAAATAAACATCAATAGTTATTAAAATTATACATCTGTGAGTATATTACGAGAGACATTTACATCACTTCTACGGTTAAAAGTTTATTATCATTTTGTAGTAAAACTATGCCGAGTATGTTAAAATAATTTTTGAAAATGTTAATAAATTATAATAACTACTTGTAGATTAATAAAATATGTAGATATTTGTTATCTAGATAATATAAATCTTCTTAAGAAGACATTAAACAATTATTTATAAATTTATGTAGCTAAGATAAAAAATAATACAATTTTTAAGTAAAAAAAACCTTTATAAATATTTAATTTTTCCCAAAACGTCACTTCATTGATAAAACAAATGAAAACTATTTTGAGAAATTATTTGTTTTAGTTAATTTTAGTACATGATCGTTCATTTTTTTAATCATGCAGTAATTTTGACATTCATCCTTTTTAATTTATAAAGGAAACTATTTAAATTTACAAATGGTTACATACATAATTAACTAGCCTATTTATACGACGATGATCTAATTACGAAAATAGCTGGTTGATTACAACTTTTGGACAAGTATTTTAAAAACTATTAAAACATTTATACCTAAAAGATTTAATATAGAAGATTAAACACTAGTGTTATCAAAATGTTTTTATAATATTATTTTTTTAAAATTGCTATCTGGGAATTATAAATATTGAAAAAATATAAAAATCAAAAAATCAAATTGCGACCCTTACAAACTATAAGGAAGTAAAATACTTCATGATTGATATATCGAGAAAAACACTTAACTAAACGAATCTAAAAAGGAAATTTTCATTGCTATTTTCATTTTCAAATAATTCAGTAGTTAAGAAAATCTCCTTATATAGAGGAACATCATTCTTAATAAACGAAGGCTGCTGAAATTTGTATAATATTCTTAAGTATTTAAAAATCAAAAATTCTCTATTTAGTTATAAGTATACAAGAAAAAATCCAATAAAAATAATTAAAATTTTTATTTTACAAAATATATAACAAAATTATTTACAACATTATTAACACTTTTTAATTCATAATGTTAATTAAAATTAAGGTATAAAATATGAATGCTCTTTTAAATATATTAATGCCACGTAATATTAAGTGACTAGAACAAAACAATATTATTATTGTATAAAAGAGCCAGTAAGTGTTACGAGGATGAAGTGAAACCTCTTTCGTTATGAAGATATGCGTGAAAATTACATGTGTCGTGGTTCTTTAAAAAATGTTTATGGACAATCAAGATTATTTAAAATTAAATTATTTGATGCATTGAAATTAATGCATAAAATTACTTTAATTTTCGAAAATACAGTGCTAAATTATAATATAAAATATACTTTACAGCCGATAGTAATGTTCAATAATCTTTTTTTTATTTCGGACCCTCTGTAAAGAAGTTTCACTTCAAAAAAGTTAAACTAGTTTTTCTTTCCACATTATCTGAAGACATATTTCTACATTTTCTTATTACCATTTTTCATAATTAATTGTTGTTTTTCAATTTACATTATAATTATAAAAATAAAGGAGAAAAAATAATACATATTCACATTTTTAAAACAAATCTGTTAACAGTTTTACAACAAAAAGCAAGTAGGTATAGTTATAATATCTCATTTCAATTATTATACTATGGGAAATTTATTCCACACTTAATAGATCTTAGTAATTAAAATAATAAATATATTAGTAAAATTTATATACATGTCCCAAGACTGAAGAAAAATTAGTTGAAAAAAGGTAAAAACACTGTTTAATATTATTTTAAGTAGTACATATTGCGTAGTTAAGTAATAGGTTAAGACATCATAGATTTCTTTATATTACGATAAACATTCAGTAAGATATATACTTAAGCACATTTTTGTTAACATCTAACTTCCATTTGGCTGTTTCAAGTTTCAATTACTTGTACAAACGCGGAAAGACGTATGCATAACATCTAATTTCAATTAATGTAATACTGTAAACAGAGACAAGCCTGAGAGGGTAGGGGTAGAATACTCTTTTATGGTAACTATTAAGATTATTATTATAATCAAAAATGGCTTAGCGAAGAACCATTTTTGATTTCCTAACATGTGAAAAAGAGTCACTACCCTCTGTAGCATGTTCGGGAAATAGAAGGATGTAAAACTAATCATTATTACCAGGACTCGTGAGTTCAAGGAATTGCATGTTTTTTTTTGCTTCTTAAGAAAACATGCTAAGTAAGTTACATATCCATTTCATAACAAAATTAATAAAAATATGAAATTTATTATTGCATATTTTTACATATTTTGGGTGTTAGGACATAATTGGCATTTAATTGGTTTTTTGGAGTTATTAGTGCATATTATTTCCTGTAAATTCAGGAAAATTTTATTTCAATGAAGGTAAAAAAAAAAATAATAATAATAAATTTTTAAATAATTTTTTTTTTTAGTTTTTTCGAATATGTTTACATGTTAATAGGTTCTTAGTATTTTAGAAGTTTCTTTTAATTTTTTTATGATATTGATTGGGTTTTATAAGTTTTAAGTAGTCCACAGGAATTTATATTATCACGCAAGCATCACCACCCACTGCTAAATGAAATATGTGTATGGCTAACTATAAATTTATTTTCGTCACAACAATACATATAGATACATATATAGGAGTACAATTCTTCTGATCTATTCGTAAACTATAATCATATTTCCAATGTTTTATGTTTCAATTCTAAATACTAGTATTTGGACTGTCCACATTAAACAAGAATGCCAAAAAAAAAACTAACGAGCTGGGCTCTCGTTAGAAAAATTTTGTTTCGAAATTTGGCAAAAATATATTTTAGTAGTAAGTACAATAGTTGGAACACCTTTGCATGATTCTATCGGCGAAATATTTTTTTATAAATATCGAAGAACTTGATAAAGCGAATCATAGTACTTTTTGTATAATCGTTATTGTTATTATAGCCCAATGGAATACAGTACCGAGCGAGATCTTAGTGACCCCAGACAACTTTCAAATTTGCAGTATTTCAATGTAGGTGGCTCTTCAAAATCAGCGGGGGAAAGTAGAGATTTTGCTTATACTACACATGAATTTTTAAATTACATTTACTCTGAATCCGACTGAGAAGGCAATGCCTGTATTTGATTTGGTGTCATTTAGACCATAGTCAGTAGTAAATTGAACTAGAATTGATTTTGCTGCTCAAAAATGAAGGTAAGTTTTGAGACTTTAAAATAGTGTTGAGTGGATTAAAATGCGAGGCATTTGTTTTGCATATACGTCGAACGCGATTTTCAAGAATTCGTTAGTTTGAACTCGAGCTGAAGACAATGGATTAAAGGCAAAGTTTTCAAAATTGTGTTCTTATATTTTTAACACTTCTATGGCTTCTTATATTTTATGCATTTCTAGGGTTTCTTATATTTTAAACATTTCTATGGCTTTTTATATTTTAATAATTTTTATGATTTTTTATATTTTATGCAATTCTATAGTTTCTTATATTTTAAACATTTCTATGGCTTCTTATATCTTAAGCATTTCTATGATTTCTTATATTTTAAATACTTTTATGGCTCCTTATATCACTTGGTGTAGTAATTACTTTTTTGTGCGAACAGACACTTGAGTATAAATATAAAAAAACGGAAATAGATAGTAGATTCTGGAACGTTCGCGCGCGGTATATGTATATATAGAGCAGTGCTGTGGTGCGTCGTTTAGTTCAGTTCCAAAGATCAAGCGAAAAGCATCATCTTCATAAGTGCGACTTTTGAGTGCGGTTTAGTAAATGAAAAGTCCTTTTGATAAGGTATTTATTCTCGTTAGGTCCATAAAGCATGTATTCATTCTCGACCGTTTTGTAAAGAACATAAAAGATTTTTCTATTCCAAATGTTTTTCTTAAATTTTGAGCAAAAGTACATCTTTCTTGCTTTTTTTTAGTGTATTTGATTTAAAATATTATCTGGCAAATATTTGTATGGTTATATTTTTTTGTTTATTACATGTATATTTGAGATAAACATGGAGACTCGTTTACATACCCAACGAGCTGCTGCGATTACCGAAGCTTATGAAACGGATTCATGTGACTCTGAAACCAATTGTTTAAGTAGTGACGAAGCAGACGAACCAAAAGAACAGGGTGATAGTAACTCGAAAAAAGAAACCAAATCTGATAACATCATCATCAGTGCGTCAGAGAATGAGGACAAGTTAGATGCAAACAATGGAACTGGTCGCAATTCTGAAGAAACAGAACCACGCACAAAAAAGAAAAAGGTCTCGCGGGCAGGCTGAGAGTCTTCCTATTTTTGGACTAAGTCTAACTTATGTTGGTCAAAAAATATTCCTGAACGCAGAGGCCGTTGTTCTTAAATTGATTACCGTGCCATGGGAAAGGTGCTTTTCGCAATAGAAGCATTTTCGCTATTATTTAGTGATAAAAATTATTGTCAAATATACTAATGAAAATATTGAACGACATATTGCCAAAACGCTTGAAAATTATCACAAAGAAATTTATTTAATTTAATTAATGACTCTAATCGGTTTATTATATTTTGCCAGTTTATATAAAATCAATAAGACTAACATGGTATAAATGTTTAAAATATCAACAACCTACAGACCAAGATCATGCAGCGAAAAACTGCGTTGATTGTAATAATTAAATGACAAGACTTTTGAACTTTTTAATTTGTAATATTGTTTGATCAGTGACATACTTATATTGTAATACTGTAAATTTGACGATAATAAATTCTGCTACTGCATATCTTCGTTTTACATATACCGTTAGAGAACTGGTGCAAATACGTCGGTAGACTGTGGGTTAATAATCTTATTATTATGATTGAAAGTCAGAAAAAGTATTCATTTTGAAGATTACTAAAATGTTTCAAATTGCGTTAATTTATACTTTTGATTTTTACTTGTTTATAATTTTTTACTAAAAAGTTATAGTTTATTATAAAAAATTAAAAATTTTAAATATTACATGCTCTTTCAAAATATACTTATTTTAGATTTTTAGTTAAGGCGTCGGGTGGGATATAGGGGGGGATTAAGTCCCTCCCCAAATTTACAAATTAGCCTTTCAGAAATTTAGCAAAATTGTATGTATTGTTATATAAAAACAATTTTTGGTAGGGAAAAATTAAATTTAGCCCCTCCCCCAACATTTGATCACTTTACGCCCATGCTTTTAGTGCATATTTGCATGCTTTTTTTTTAGTTTTTTAGTGCATGAACTTACGAACCCTGATTATTACTACAGTCTCAAATAGACATACAAGCTAAAGATTTTTTTGCTCATTATATTTTTTTGATAATAAAATTTAAAAAAAAGTGAATGACCCTTCTCAAAAAAAGAAAAAAAAGAAATAAGTTTCAGGTTTATAATAAAAGTTTCCTAACCATTAAAACATGAATTATAGATTAATTTGTAAAATACACTAAAAAAAATAACCGATTTAAATAAAGATATTAATGATATAAATAACGTATAGTCTAGATTGAATGATTTGTCTGTAATATCACAGTAATAAATAAACTTAACATGATACAGTATTCTTATATAAGTAGGAATAATTCAATAGTGTAAATCAAATTTTAATTTTTTGTGGAAATCTTGTTTGTTTGTATAAATACTTTGTATATTTTGCTCATTTAATTTATAGGGTTTGTAATTATAAGGAATTATAAAGGAATATAGTTTATTTACATTTTCTGTATGGTATGTTTGATGTTGTACTTTAGGTAAAATGGTAATTGATATCATTGATAATTAAGTGTTGGCAATTAACCAACTTTCTTTTAAAAAAACAAACGTTCATGGCTCATTTCATTGGATGTCCTCAGGAGATAGACCTATACTAACGTTATCTGTTTTCATAGTAGTCATGGTGAATCGGCATATGTATGTACCACTTCTTGATGTTTGATTGCCTCTACGAAGTCTATTCTGCCTGTCAGGACCACAGCATAAGAATAATCTTTTGAACTCATTGCGATATTTTCCTATAAATGAAATTACGTAGTTTTAAATTAAAATTATTTCTATTTGTGTGAGTATAAAATTAAATATTTCTTTTAATTAAATAAAATAAATTGAAAAATTATAAATGCATAATAATGAAAAGTCTCTATGGAAAAATAATGAAAATATATTTATTATTAAAGTTAATCTTATGTGCAAATAAAGTGATTTATTTTTCAATCGCCATACGACTCATAATAATAATAATATTAATCATCATTTATGTTTTATAGGTTATATAGCACTTACCACTCATGAAATTATAAATCAATGGGTTTACTGCGCTATTAGCATATATCAACCAATGAGAAAAATTAGTTACTAATGCCATAAATGGTGACTGACGAATACCAATTGTATATCTGAATTAAATACAAAAACATAATTAATAAAGTTTAAAATATATAAATTATTAAAATCATTTGTATATAAAAATCACCCGTAAATTTTATGCAAAGAAAGTCGTACCATTTAAAATTGAATCGTATTGTGATACAATAATTTGAAATAATAATACAATGCAATGTGATATATATATATATATGTGTGTGTGTGTGTGTGTTATATTTAATAGACACAGGGAAAATGACGGATAATAATAAATAATAGATTACTATATACTACCTATAGAAAACCATTTGTGAACCAGCTCGAGACACAAAAATAATGGAGAAGGTATATTGTAAAGGTCTTCAGGAAGAATTGAGTTTAGTAACTAGATGTAAAAAAAGGCTAATAATACAGTATTTGGGTCATATCATGAAAAGAAGCGAAAAGAAACCATCAGAGCAGCTATGGAGTGAAAATCGTAAGGAAAAAGATCACAAGGCAGACCAATGAAAAGATAGATAGATGTAGTAGAAGAGGATCTAAAAGTTTTGAAAGTAATTAATAGCAGTAACTTATTCAAAATATAGAGAGATGTAGGAAAGAATATAGTAATGACGGCAAAAACTCTAATAGAAATATAAAGGCTAGTAAAGGAAAATAAAAATATGTATTGTAACTACAATCCTATTATTCTAATACTATTTTCTTACACTAGTTTCCCTGAGATTACCCTTTTTTCTATATCCCTATTTTACCTTTATTTATTTATTTCTATTTACCCTTTTCTCTTTATGATAATAACGATGCTCAAAAGCGTAAATAATTTACATGGAAAAAATTCTATGCCTATAACCAATATTTAGTGTGTAACTTCTGTTAATTCATTTAGGCATTAAAATCATTGTAATTTTTAGAAATTTATTTTATTGAGAATCTTAAAATAAAAAGATAAGAGGATTAGGTATTATTAGGGGTACTTAAACTTTATTTTTTAAGGGTTACGGTTGACAAACGTTTTTAAAAGGTTTCTAGCTAAAAAAATGAGTTAGCTCTTATTTTTTAAGGTAGGTATTATAAGTAATAATTTAAGGTCTAATAAATAGGCCACTTGTCAAACAAGTACCCTATAATCTTTCATGTTTTAATGTTACAATTCTACAATACATTTTAAGCAATAAAAACAATTATAAAAAATATTTCAATCTTTTAATATAAGATGAGATAAAGATAACTATGAATCTAATTCGTGCTTTAAATCACAAATAATCTATTGCGTAATAAACTACTAAAGTAAATTATTTACTTTGTATAATTATTATACACATTTATAGGAATATTTAATACCATTCAGTCAATATTGTTCAAACCCTTAGATTACTCCACTATTTTACCCACCTATAATTATTTCTATTATTTTTTTTATTATTACATTTAGGTGTTAAGAGATTGAAAACTTTAGGTATACGAATGAAGACACAGCGATGCCCCTGATCATAGTTTTCATTCAAGATTAACAAAATAAAGTGTTCAAATATAGGTTTTTAATAAAAATGTCGTGAACCCTATAGATTATGATGAATTATTATAGCTTGGGCTCTTATTTTATTATACAGTGTGATTTATTAAGTACACTTTCTAACTTTATCGAAAATTAATATTATCATTAAATTTAGAGAAAAAAATTAACTTTTTTTATAATCATTGAAAAATATTAAATTTATTATAAAAAAAATTATTTCTAATGATAGTTTTTAGAGCTAACTTCTAAAAGTTAATTTGGAACCTTTGATTACTTTTATGGTGATAGAGAATAGCATAAATAATATTTTAAGTAGTCAACAATCAGTTATGAAATATTAATTTTTTAGCAAATGGAATTATTCGGTATATGCGACGAGTAGTAGACGTAATAGATTTTTATTAGTAAAAAGAGAGCGTGAATTAAAACTACCCTACTCTTGACTTTTTCCAAATCTTCAAACGCTAATATCTCAAAAAGTAATATATAAAAACAAATTATCAACCAGTTAACATTTTGTTTAGTTCATTCTCCATTTAATATAAAGAAACAATAATAGGTTCTCATTTAACTTTCAAATGTTACACCAAAAATCTATAATTGGAAATAATTTTTTCTTATAATTAACAATTGTTCATAAAAATAAATTAAATTTTAATCTATACATTTTTATGAAAAAATTATTATTTAACAAAAAAATAGGGGGTATTATACTTAATAAATCACAATGTAATGCCCCTAAAAGTACGTATTTGTTTATTAAAAAAATCATTTAACCGCTCTTATCTCGACAGGGGTGAGTTATCTGAAAAAAAAAAATTGTTTCCGTGCCCTAAAAATGTTATCCTATCAACCCCTCCAATTAAGGCTAAATAACAAAAAAAAGATATGTTGAAAATGAAAAAAATATTTTCCTATTAATACCTTATATAATACCTATAAGGTATTCAACGTCAATGTTCACTTCATCCTTAATGTTCACGATATTTTTATTATAACCAAAAGTTCTTTAATATAAATAATTTCAAACGAAAGTGGTTATTGAGTTACCTAAAAAATAGAACTCATTTTTCTATAACAATGCCACTTTATGTAAAAATGAATAATATATTAAGTATAAAGCAATAGTTTAACACGTTTACTTTTCAAACGCCGTCTGTAATAACATAAAATATATTGAATTAAATAATAATAATCTTTATTTAAATAACAAAAAATTAGTCTTTTAAAAATTTTTAATGTTTTTGTTTCTGAAAATAATGAAATATTTACCTAAAACACTTCGTTATTTAAAATTTGGAAAGATATACAATATTTGTGGTTAGTTAGTTGTATAAAAGATAAAGTCATTTTATTTTCATTTTATTTTTTATGATACCTGTCATATTTTGAAGTCTATAGGTTCAAAGGATTACATTACAAAAGCAGTTTTTTTAATTCAACAAACGAGTCAAAAAAAATGTTGTATTAACTGATTCTTTTATTTTGATATTTTTCCTCGTAATAAGTGTACGATGCGTTTTGTAGTATTGTTTTATATACTTATAAATAATCTAAAATATTTTACATAAATATAAAAAATTGTTCTGTGACTTACAACCAGAGTCCAGGACTATGTATTTATAAAATTTATTTCAACCATCAATTATGTGAAAAGTTATCAAAATTATTCACAGAAATATTATTTGTTGTAAAGTGCCAGTGATCCCCTACATGTCCCTCCAAAATAAATTTCTAATCAATATATTCTTTTTGGTGTAAAAAGAACCCATATGAATATTTGTTTATCATTATTATACTCGGGATGACTAAAATAAACTTTACATATAAGCATAATAATTTCATTGAATAAAAATATATTTCATGGTTATTTCAGTTAATTAATAACTTATTTCTTTCATTTTTCTTTCTATCTATTCAATGTAACTTTTTCTTAAGTAAACTTAAACACTTAAAAATTATTAACATAAATTTACACTAAAACATTAGGATAAAGAATTATTTAGACATTATTTAATTGCTTGAATTAATATTTACATTTATTCTTTAGGCAGTAACAACAAAAATTTTAAAAAGTATTTGATAAAAGTAAAGTTTTTGAAGAAACTCAAATAGTAGTTGTGAAATCAATTTGCTTAAAATTACATATTGACTTTAAAAAAAACTATTTAAATAAAAATATTATGTTGCCGACGTATTATTTTCTAATAAAATCTAACCATGTAAAAATTTACATTTATAAAAATGTTATTTAATTATAAGAAGTGGCTCTCCAAATTAGTAAGTCAAAATCACATGAAAAAATATTCCAAAAACTAATTTATAACTCTAATTTTTTTTTTATTTAACGCTACTACCCCTAAGATAAAGCTCACATAATTAGCTATTTCACCATAATTTTGTACCAACACAAAGACACTGAATTTTATCCGTGCTTAATTTAATAAAATTTCTTATTTCTTAATGTTATATACCAATACCTTCAATCTTTATACTATATATCCACTTAAAATAATGACTTTGGTTTGTGAGTATATAATTATGTATATAATATTTTCAATTAACGTGGACAAGGTTTTAAAACGGTTACTACGATTTCAAATTTATTTTGAGAGGTTATAAAAAATAACCTTAATCAGTTTTGTGTACATGTTACCACGGTTTAGTATTTAAAATTTTTTTTAACAAGATTCAAATATAAATAATAAACTATATTATTATTCAATAACTATTTAGCTGGAATCTTCAAACAATATAAACATCAAATAAGTATTAAAAAAAATAACCATTTAAAAAGAAGATGAATTAAAAATGCAAATTATATCTACTAAACATGCGTAAACAATGAGAACAAATATAATATCGGTAAATAAAAAACTTTGCGGAAAACATTTACTTAAAGGATTACAAAGCATAAAAGATTTATTTGCATTTTTATATCAAATTACATTAAAAAAAAAAAAAAGAATAATATATTATATCATTGTTAAATATTACAAATAAATAAAATTAGATAATTTTAACTATATTATAAGATACTTATAAAGACTACATGACTAATTTTAATTTTTACAGAATAAATTATGCATCAATATATTAAATATATATTTAATTTATATTAAGTAATATTCAATTACCTGAAATAGTTTGGTTTTTTTTTAATTTTAATAAAACTGTTTTATTATAACAATGATTACGAATGAATGTTGAAATTACAACTAAAATTTATTTTACTCTTTAATAAAACATTTATAACTTATGATGATTTAGTATTAAAAAAAAAAGCAGGTTGCTATGTGATTTGTTTTTTTTATTCTCGCGCGACGGTTAGTTATATTGTCATTGCTATTGCAATGAAATATAAAGGCATACAATGAAAATATGACTAAAACCATGAATATGCTTTTGTGTGTGCGTGATAAGAAGTTAAATTAAATTTAAAAAACTTGGCTTTTATTAAAATAATTAACTTACTCTAAACTTTACCTCGACTGAATCTGACATAAGTAAATAAACTTAACTTTATTAATGTCAAACGCAATTACTACTTTCTCCTTTCATGTCAGTACAATATTTATATCAATCATAGGAAACATTATTTTGTGTACCAATAAATTGTGCTTGTACTTTCATCAAACTATAATAATAATGTGACACAAGTTGATTGATTCACCATGAAACACTCATATTTTTAGAAACTGTTGAAATTATAAATTTTCGTAATAGAAAAAATGTATTTTATTCAAAAAATTCTAAATTATTTTATTTTATTTTAAATTAGATAATTTTTTTTAACGGAAACTCATATTTTTATTTTAATTATCTGATAGAAAAAAATGTTCATCTTCTAGTAATCCTTAGTAAACTTTACACTAATTTTTGACCAATTATTTTTAGGTAATTTTTACCTAGAAACTGTAATATTTATCATACAGTAGTTGCCATTTCTTCATAATACCACATAAACAAGATTTTATTGACAATTTTTGTTATCATATCTATCATTTATGATAGTAAGAATAAAAACTGAAAATAACTTATAGTCAACTGAAACAGATTATTGTTGCATTCGGTATTATGAAAATCAAATTAATAATGAATTTATATTTCAATATATAATAATTTTGATCTGATAATATCCATATATAAAATCTATGTACAATATTAAAACAAAAATGATCGTTCCAATAAAAATCATTAATTAAAATTTTGTCTATCATATCATCAAACTATAGAAGAAAATTATTACTTACGAACAAATAAAATAAAATATTTAACTAACTATATGTTTTTTTTAATCAAACTATATTTTATTTTACAAAATTTAAAATATGTAGTTATAAAAATATGAGTGTCATAAGAATCTTAAACTGAATCGACTTATTGATATATTAGAATTGATATTGAACCAATGTCCAAAGTTTAAACTTTCTTCCTGTTAATGAAATGTTCACTGAGAAAATGATTGAATGAAAATATATCGCATAATACGCCAGACAATAACTTTTGTATTTAAAATTATTAGAAAAATATTGTAAGAAATAATAACAAACAATATTTCTAAGTAAATATTCAAAATACTCTATTAAATAAAACTAAGGTCCAAAGGTGTATAATCTGTTCAGTTGTCTTAATCGACGGATTAAATAGGGTGTAACACTCGGGAATGCTTACGGGTGTACGATTACTTTGTATACAACAATATAACCGATGTAATCCAAAATGAAATCCAGCAGATACAATCAAGGGCATGTTACACGGTATCGTTAATTTAATAAACACGACCGTCGTCCGACAGGTCACATTTTACCGCAGAGGGTAAATTTAATTAGAAAGTTGAGATGAATTTAGATTTACCAATCAACGAACGAGTTTCAGCAATTTTGTTTTGACTGTCGCAAAATTGCATAAAGATTAAGGCCAGTTATGCAAGTTTTTACTGAACACTTAAAAATCTCAATACGTAAAACAAAACTCCAAGTAAATGATTTTAACTGCCGTTAAAGCCACTTAAACTTTAAAAAACGAGAGCACATTTTTTTCAAGTATTATTGATAATAAACATACATTTATAACACGAAGGTAATCTGAATCTTGTAAAAATTAAAAATAATTCCTAAATTATTTATATTTTTTAAGTAATTGAATGGGTACTGTCAAACAGATCACATTACATACTAAGTCCAAACCATTTTTGAAATACATAAACTAGAAAAAGCGTCAGACTATTTTTCAAATAAAAATAATATTAAAAATTAATTTTTAAAAAAAATGTTTTTGATTAGTAGAAATATATATATAGTAAATAATTTTAAAATATATTAAGATGTTACTTGAGTCAAATAAAAATTTGTATGAATCTACATCAATTCCCTTTTTAATTAATTATACTAAGATTTATATATATTTTTTTTTTTTTTACAACCGTTAGGTTGGTTAATACCATTGGTATATCCTGGGGAAATTTTAAGTGCAGTGGTTTCCCGTTGCCTTCTGCACTTAATATTATAAAGTTATTAAATTCATTATTTTATTTTATATAAATTTAACTAAAGCTTAGTTCTTGGAGTCAAAATAGATTGTAAATTATTTTTCGATACCTACAAAGGTCATCATTTCAAACGTTACAATTTCCTTTGTAAAGAGCACGACATCATTTTTGTTAAAAAATTCTGTGATTTTAATGGCATTTATCTATGAGTTATTATCGACAAGCGCATTTTTACTTTAGTTAATGTTTTTAAACTATCAACTACATTACATCGTATCCTTGACACAAATATAGTAAAAAACTAATAACTATTAAGGAAAAGTGATTTAAGCTGTAATAGGGAGATATCTGAGATAAAAACGAGATTATGAAGATTATTCGTTAATGAGACAATTAACACTGTAGTAGTATTAAGTAATCTTATAAAATCAAATAGTAAAGAGTGTGAAAAAATAGATAAATCACTGTAGTAACCATCGAGAGTTACTACTATTAACTCATTTATCGACCTTGAACACTTGTGTTTTTCAAATATCTATTTATTTAAACTTGTTATGCAACAAATCAAAATTTGTTGATGTTATAATTAACTTATACATTGTAATTTTAGTATTCCAGATACATTACGCAGATAGAATTTTATTAAAAATAATAAGATGATGTTTTTTTAACGTTAGTATAACATATAATATTAAATTAAAATAATAAGAATGCTTTTATATTATTATTTTTAAAGCTGCTATCTGATAAATAATTATGTGTCTTAAAATAAAATCTTTTGATTTGTTTTACTTCTGTATAAAAGATAAAATAAAGTACATAGTCTTTTAAGCTGCTTAAAATACGCTTACATTCATAAATTATTCAAGGAGTTATAAATTGAGTACGTACGTTAAGTAAGCATACTTTAAGAATTGTTAAAACTATTTAATAAGTACGCTTTTAGAGTTATTAAACTGTTTAGCAAAATTTAATTTTTACCTATTTGTCCAATTAAAAAAACGCTTCGATATTTCTAATACATTTTTTTTTTAAATGTTACCTTAATAAGTTCATTATATGTACTGGGAAGAAGCATAGAGCAAACATTATCACTACAGCTACCAACATCTTTGCGGCTTTTCTTCTAGCTTTTATCTGAGCCATAGTGTTCGCACATCCCATAGTGCTATTTCGGTTCAATCCTGTTAAAACATCAATAAATTGAATGTAATTTATAGTAATGAGTGTACAAGATACATTGATTAAAAGCCTACATGCTCGATTTGGAGCGATGCGGTGACTCTGAAAAATAAAACTGAAATTTTTTAGCAACTATATATTTTTTTTGTTTACCAAAAAAAAATTAATAATTATTTAGAAGAACGTTAAGTATGCATCCTATAACAACATTTGTATATAAAAATAAAATTATCATTTAATATTAAAGTTCAAGTAGCTTAATTAAATAAATTTATTTAACTTTAAGTAATTTAACTTTATTTGTGAACCTAAAACTTTAATTAAATAGCAATCCAGACATAAATTTGTATTTTTTGTTTACTTTACTAATTTGTTAACTAATTAAGTTAGTTAATTAAGTTAGCAAAATATTCTTTAATAAAAATGTATAATTAAACATTTCATTTTAAAAATATTTTTGATAGAACAGAATGATTATTATGTAGAAGTTTTGATTTTTAAATAATTTATGGCTTCTAAAAATTTATTTTTTATTACAAGAAAAATTTGAATTTCGTTTGTGGTATTTAAATAAATGTCAAATATTTGTATGGTTAAATTATGATTTATTATAATAAATAAATTATTAAGGGTTTAATATGACATAAGGAATTTAAATATTATAATATTGACGTATATTTATTCTAGCTTTTTCTATAAAAATGGACAATTTATATAATGTATAATATTATTTAATTTTATAAAACCACACTAACGCCTTATTAATCATTCGAATTTTTATTAAGTCTCATTGAATTCTTATAGAAATTAATTTTTTCCGTAATAATATAAAGTGACAGCCTAATTAATCAACAGAACCAACGTGCCTGTAGACCACGAGGATTACATTATTTCTAACTAAAAATTATTTCAATGGGAAAAGTATTGTAGTACTGCCATGGTGGTTATGTTTATTTATTTTATGTGATTGAATCACATAAATCACATAAACTAACATAATGTACAATTCATAAAATTTTTATAAAAATAATCCAAGAGTCGTAATCAGCCTATCAAGTTTACAAAAATTTATTATACTGGGTGCTAAGACAACTCAATATTTATATCGTTACATAATACAAACATTGGCTTAGGGTTTACCAAAAACTTTAGAAATAAATCTTAATATAAAACCAATTGAATATAATATTTCTCGAATGTTGTATTTATGTTTAATGATTTTTAATAAAGTTATATTATCTTATTTGAAGAAATTGAAGTTAAAACATATATGTAGCTACTGTTTGATAGCTCGATATCTAGTAGTAAAACGTAAATCAATATTTAATTCAAGTAAGATAAAAAGTTTGAAACCATGTCTATGCTATAAGTTGTAAAAAAACTTTTTTCTATATTTCCTAACTATTTGAATTTGAAAACTACTTGTGTTCAATCGTGATAATGCGAACTAAGCAAAATAAATATAAGTTCACAACTTCTGTTCTCCTTAATGAAGTGAAAAATAAATAGCTTGTTCTCACAATAAATTTAGGGCGATGAGTTTATTCATACCGTTTTGATTTTGAGAGTTATACATCTGTACGGTTTCTGAATGGCCTGGAATATTGTCTGACTTCCAAAGTACTTTGACAATTTGATAATAAGTGACTGACATAAGCGACAATGGTAATATGTATAGAATAATTGTTTTCGCTACTTGATATGTAGTTTCTGATTCTTTACTCCAGAGGGCTTCACATTGAGTTAGATAGACACCATTCGCCAGACGAGGAGTATGGTTGATGGCTTCCAGTACATAAAGTTCAGGTAAATCTAAAAAAAAGTCATATTTGAAAAAAAAGATAAAAAAAAAAAAATGTAAATGTAAATTATTTTTTAGTTTTATGTTACTATAAAACTTTAAATTACATATATAGAACCTATTTCTATATAGTAATGTAAATAAATAACTTTTACTCTCATATGATTTACGCGCGTTATATATTTATGAAGTTGCTTTTCATACATTTGTTTACATCATCATCGAAAGGTTCTTTTGATAAAATATATCATAAAGGTAATATCTACTTTGATAGATTATGCATTATGCATATCTATCTACTCATAAAATGTGATTATGGTATAATATTCACTCAAGTATACTTTTTCTTAAGTAGGTTACCCCTGTTATTTTTTTAACTTAATTGAAACCTTCAATTACAATTTGTGTCTCTATTCAGTAATATTTAATATGAATTTAATTTATCTTCAAAATAAAACATATTTTAGTTGAATAAAAAATATTAGCCTGTTTTATAAAATAAATCTTTATTTTTTTAATTGAACATTAGTTATGTTAATATCCAAAAAAAATGAATACATTCTATATCCGACACAGAGAGGGTTCAGCATAGTGGAACTAAAATATTAATAATATATAATCACTATCATAAAACGCTTCGATACGATAATTCTCTAAGAAAAATCAATTTCGTTAGATTATTATTACTTCAGAATGAATTCATTATTGGTTATTGCTGGTAATAGTAACTTTTTTAGTTAAAATGTAACGAGTAAGATAGATTACCTATTGCTTAACCACATTTAATAATATTCAGGCTTTAAAAATATATGCATTGAAATATGCTTAAATCTTTTAATAAATGAAACCAAGTAAACTTTTTACAATATTAGACCTTATGTAACGGTGAATTACATTCATATTCTTTAATGAACTGGTTGGTTTGTTTTATTTCTATTTAAAATGATTAAAATAAGTATTTTTAAATACACTGTCGTATAATGTCATTGAAACATCGATTTTGAACCTCAATTCCTGTGTTAAATATATACATTTAATATAGTTTATATATAACAGTATACTGTTATATAAAATACATTATGATAAAAAAAGTATATTTCTCAGTATTGAATTAATTTAAAAATAAAAAAGTTAATTAATATAAAAACTATTTAAAGAAAAATATCAAGGGGATGTTTATAGTTATTATTTAAACGATATTTTGTTTTCACGAAAAAAATATTTTTTTTGACTACCAAAAAGTATTATGTTTTCTCTAAACATGGAAAAAGTATTTTTTCAAGTTTGCATATTTACTTTTAATGGTTTCAGCAACAGTTAACACTACTTTGTGATTTCACATGAGAAAAACCATAACACATTATTTTCAAGAAAACAACAACATTTTTCTTTAATATTCATGCGAATCTAAAAAAATTAAAAATAAGTTCATGACAAAAAGCGACTGAATAAGTTCGGTGATCCTTTTTTATAATTTCGTTATCATCGATAAATCTGAGAATTTTACCAACTTAATATTTCTATAGAGTTGTCAAAAATCGTCAACATTTTATAAAATACAATTCATTTTTTTTACAGTCGAACCAATAGATGGAACAGGTAATCGAAACTATTTTTTTGAAATAGAATTAGAGATCCATTTTTAGGTTAGATTACAAATCTTTTGTTGATATCGGGAAATTTAATAATTAGTGAATAAAGCTTTACTGATCACCCTATGCAATGAACAAACAACGATCTAAAAAAAATACTGTTAGCCCGTTATTTGAAATTCTGGAGACGATTTGTTGTTAAAGATTTTTGTATAACTATTCGAATTAATTATGAGACGTCAAAAATTAGATTATTTGTCAGAAAAATTATTGGGAATTAAAAAAAAAAAAAATTGTATAAATGCTTTCATGCAAATTATATTATTTAAATTCATCAAACATTAAAAAGAGAAGTAATAAAATTACACAACTTTTATTTTGGCAACTAAAAAATGCTAACAATCACTAAAATACCAATAAATTATAATATGTGATGCCTAAATTATTAGGCATCACAGTTAAGAAGAAAACGGTTTAATAGAACTTTTTATCTTACCAGACAAAAATCCTAAAATCCATATGATAATAATGGCTGTTCTTGCACGACTAGTGGTCGACTTGAATTTTAGCGGATGACATATGGCATACCAACGGTCAATTGATATTGAGGTTAGTGTCAGAACAGAAACCGAAATTGATACTGTCTGAAAAATAATAAATTAAATATTTATTATAAGGTATAAACTAATCATCATGATGTGCTTTTAAGCACTAACTGATGTTTGGATTAAACAAACCCGCCTTGAAAGGATTTAGTGTAAATATTAGTTTGAAGAGAAAAAAAATGTGTTTTAAAAGCTTTAGGTTTTTCCTGCTGATTGACAACTATAGTCATATAGCTTTATTAACAGTTTCAATAATATGAAGACCCAATAATTTAATGACAACTAAAGTTTTATTTTTCTATGTTGTATATGACGTAACGTGCATAATATTTCAACACAACAACCCGTTAATAAAATATTGTTAGGGATCAGTGGACGTTGACAGTAACATCAGTTTATCCCTTGTATAAGCTCAAAGAAAAATAACACTCTCACATGCATACACTTTGATCAAACCAAAGTACCCGACTTTCATTAATGGCAAACATTTGAAAGGTTTTGGTTTCAAGTCAGGTTCTATACTTTATACTATTCCATACATCATTGTATTGTGTTGGCTACATGTGTATAAAGTTACATTTTTGCCATAAAAATTGTTTTTGGTCCCAAATCTAATAAAATTGTTAAAAGGAAAAAGTAATTTAATTATGTTTAAAACTGCTATTAAATATATAGCAGGTTAAATTACTTAATTTAAAATGTTGAATTAACTTTTATTTTAAGAAGTAACTTATTTTATACTGATTATAGTAATTAACTATACAATATAATTAACTTAAGGCCTTATTACAACAAGATATCCTGATAAATTGAGTTAACTGGATAGATTCCAAAAGATAATTGGACTATAATAGTATTTTGTTTGATGAAACTGTTAAGTATTAAACTATTAACTATTAAGTCTTAAATATGTTATAAAAATTTAGAGAATAATATTTCTTATAAAAATATTTTGATAAATGAACAAATATCAATCGTAGTTGTTAAAATTGATCTTGTAGTGAAAAGAATAGGCTTTATGAATAAAATTTTCATTCTTTTTATGATAAAATATTGCTTCATATATTTTTCAAATAAATAGTTACTTGTATAAAAATACATACCGTTAAAAAAAAATGTAAAAAAAATCTAAAAATACACCTATATGTATTGCAACCTAATTTGCACGCACCGACATGTGTTATTTCAAAGTAGAATAAAATTGTGCATAATATATTCATAAATTTAAAAATATCGAATATTGTTTTTTTATATTTATAATATGTTAGTTTTGTGAACCGTATTACGTCATATCACAATAAACTTTACATTTACATTTACTACAACAAAAATTTAACAAATGTTGAACGCGCAATTCGAATTATTATTATTATTATTATTACTCTAATTATCATTAACTTTCTCTCAAAAAAGCAATGCTTGTATTAGAGAAATCTACATTTCTTACCACAACATTGAGAAAGTTCAATATATAAATATTACCTACCCTCATTGATCAGCCACTGATATACCTCTTTATTCGTTCTTGGTATTTAATGTTAATATTGCGCATTTATTAAATGACATAAATAATTTTGGGAGCATAAAGCAATATTATAGGTACGTTTATTATGCCATGTACTGTTTTAAAGTAAAAATATTTATTTTAAAAATGAATAAGAATCAAAAGTAAGAAAATATTCCTTAATAAAAAGTAATTTCGGAATAGGTTTATATAAAAAAATATGTAACATAATTATTCTCAGACAATGAAAACTTTTTTTAATGGATTTTGAAATTCTTTGATATAATTTTGTAGAGCTCTAGAAAATTAAATAAAAAATCATTTTGTTGTTTTATCCTCCGGGATAATTGAATGAATGAAACAGAAAGTCGTAAGTTTTTTTTTTATCTTCTCAGTTATTTATATTTAATAGATTCAAATATAAGTATGACTGTATGCTTATGAATATAGCAGTATTAGATTCTTACTCAGTAGTAAAACCATACCGTTGAATAAAGTTTCGGGAAAATCGATTGGGTTAATGAAATCGTTTGTCTATCATAGTTAGTTTCCATTTTCATTAGAAAATCACTATACAAAGAGTATAAGAAACAAAGGAATTCAGCAAGCGACTGATGTTGTCACAGAACACCCTACCTGTTGTAGTCACGGGTCGGTAATCCCAAGTAAACGGTATAGTTATCTTAAAACGACCATAGTAAATTCTAAAAAGTAATTTGCAATAAAATATTATTATTGTACACCCCATGTGAAATAGTTTGAGCTACAAGTCTCATAATAAAAACGTACGATATAGGTAGCGGGTAATTGTTTAACTGCCATTAAACTAAACTAAAATAAGTCATATTATTAAAGGATCATTTAAAACGGTAACTTGATTTAATTTAAAATTTTCAGTAAAATAACAAAATTAAAACTCTCACTTTAATATAATAACTCAATGTTTCAAATTACAATAGTTTTGCATCGAAGCTAAAAAATATTAAAATTCATATTACTAAAGAAAACTAAATAAATGTTCATAATATATTGTTAATATAACATGGAATATCAATAATGATTTAAAAAAGTATACTCTTCAAGGTAGTAAGGACGAGTAAAGTTATTTAAAAATCCAAACATTTTTCTAAAAAAATTTAACTAATTAACTCATAATTTTTAAGTAAGGCCAAATTATTACCCAAGAATAATAATTTACACAAGCATCGTGGTGGGTATAAGTTATAAGCAACTAAATACTTTTATGTAAATCAAAAAACTGAATGAATATTTAATTTATTTGTCTAACCGTATATTTACGATATTCTCATTATGAAATGTTTTATATCAAGATACAATATGATCTAGAGATACAAATACTAAGTATTAATTTTTCACTGTTACATACAATATATTCAATGTCACCGTTAAATAATTGTGCATTTAATTTATTTTTATGGAATATACTTGTAAAATTTTTGAAGCAAGACATCAATAATATATGATCAAAATTTAAGTATAACAGTTTTAATACAAATATGTCTTTGATAAAGTAATACCGACCAGTATTTTTTTATTATTTCTCTGCATTTGTTATTAGAATATGTTTTTTATTCGTTTGCGATACGAACCAATAAGAGAAAAGGCGTAATAATACAAATAACATTCTGAAAGAATTGAGTTTTTGATTGTTTCACCGACCAATGCGCACAGTTTGAGATTTTCAATTATTTTATTCACTGCACTCTTATATCTAGTCCTAAGATTTATAGTTGAACGTATCCGGTGCAGAGTGTTCATAACAGACAACAAGAAAGGCATGTCATAATCTATCTACATTTTTATAAAAACCCTGAATTCAGTGAATATTTACCTGCTAAGGCTTTACGCAGATTATATAGGGCATAGGTATAAATTTCAGGTCTGATAAATCTACCTACCAATTTGTTTGCGAGTTGATAGAAAAATTAATTTTTTCTAGCCTTTTAAGTGTTATTTAACACATTTTCTGTTTAAATATTTTCGCTTAAATAATTCTTAAACGATATAAACATATTTTTTTGTGAGCATATTTATTTTTAGCTTCGATGCGAAGCTGAGAAGGTATTAATTTTACCATGATGTGTTTATTTTTTTTTTTATTTTATTTTTTTTTTTTTGGTGTCTGTCACTACTTTTTCTCAGCTCTCACTGGACCGATTTCTTTTAACAATACGTCAAAAGATCACAAATTGTATCTAGTTGAAGACATTACCCTTAAAAATTTAAAAATTTTCCCTCGTTCCCCGCAAATGGGGGAAATATCCAAAAAAATTACAAATTTAAAAATCGACAAATTTTGTCATTTTTTTCACTTTTTTTTCTTAAAACTTCCATAACTTTTTCAAAAATCAACAAATCAACATAATTTTTTTTTAAACTAAAACCTTAGATATTTTCCTTTCATTTGATATAATTTTTTTGAAAATTTAACACTTAACCTGCTCATGGGGGGGGATTTAAAATTGCAACTTTTTTACAAAAACTAACTTTTTCAACTTAATTTTTGAAAATGTTCCGGAAATACTGCGTCCTTTAAACATATATCAAATTAAAGCTTATTTTATGTACTATAAAATGAAAAAAAAAAATTTGTCCCGACACTTTATCTTCTGCATGTAAACGGTTGCCGTAGTTAAAAAAACACTATTTTTGTGTTAAAATTTTCGATTTTCAATTTTTAATTTTCAACTTAAAAATGCTATAACTTTTCGAAAAATGCATGTATCAGCACAATTTTTTTTTTTCTAAATACATTATAAGTACATCTTCCATTTGACATACTTTTTATTAAAATTAGACAATTTCCCCTTATATAGGGGGGGTTCAAACTTTGAAACATTGTATAAAAAATAGAACTTTTTCAACTGAACTTTTGAAAATGTTCCGGAAATACTGCGTCCTTTAAACATATATCAAATTAAAGCTTTTTTTATGTACTATAAAATGAAAAAAAAAAATTTGTCCCGACACCTTATCTTCTATGTGCAAATGGCTGTCGAAATTATAAAAAAAATGTAATATTTGCGATAAAAATCACCTTTTATAACGATGTTTTTTGTACTTAAAACTGCCATAACTTTTTCAAATATTAACTAATCAAAATAATATTTCTTTATATTGAAACCTTAGGTAATTTTCTTTCATTTGATATCATTTTTTTTTGAAAATCTAACACTTATTCTGCTCACAGGGGGGATTTAAAATAGCAACTTTTTTACAAAAACTAACTTTTTCAACTTAATTTTTGAAAATGTTCCGGAAATACTGCGTCCTTTAAACATATATCAAATTAAAGCTTATTTTATGTACTACTAAATGAAAAAAAAAAATTTGTCCCGACGACCTATCTTCTATGCGCAAAAGGCTACCGTATTTAAAAATATGCTATTTTTTATTAAAATTCTAGGTTTTGTATTTTATTTTATTTTAAAATATTTTATTAGGGGAATAAACTGACTTTCATGAATATTATATAATTTCATTGACATAGAATAAAGTTCATAAGACATATGAT